ATAGAATTTATAATGACTACCAATTTATATGGAACCATGCCACTTTGTTACACATACCATTTGAAAACGACGTTTTGATTAAGTTTGGATTTTGGATTTGTGCCTATATTCTTTTGTCACATGAAATAATTATAACATATTTGAGTGACAGTTTTAATGACTTCCCAAGATGATTCATATAGACATAGCGCGCCCGTACTAATCACAGATTTCACGCCGAATGTCAATGTCATTCATTCTAAGACTCTAGCATAAAATAATTATGATAAATTTAACCAATTCAAAAATCTAGATGAAAATTTGAACCACATTATTAAAAGTCATCTGATGGTTAATGATGTTAGGGTGTTGACTGCAAGAAGAATCACTAATCCAGACAGAGACGCTTTAGTTCCAGGGGTGGTCATTGCAACACTGGGGGATAAAAACAAGGTTTTGAAGGCAAAAGCCAAACTTTTTAAAACAATTTACAAAGATGTATTTATCTCTCCGGACCAGTCAAAGGAAGAAAAAATACATGCAGGAAATCTTCGTTCTGTCGTAAATGCAATGAACAAGGGAGGACGTCTGTCTATTAGAGGAAATAGAGTTGCGTGTATATATGAAAATAGTGGCACCCATAATAATGGTGCAAATCATGTTAATCAAGCTTGTGGCACCCAAAATAGTCATAACAGTGCATCAAATCATAGTAGTATAAATAAAAACCACAATAATGGTGCAAATCAGAACACTGGTTCTCAGTGGGCAAATTTTAGAGGAAACAGTCGTGGAAACGGTAGCATTAATGGTGGAGGTGGTTGAGGACAAGGCTGTGGACAGAGAGGACAGGGAATCCAAGGGCGAAGTCAACAAGGTCAGGATCGAGGTCGTGGCAACAGGAGATAGGTGTTATAAGGTGACGGAATGTGAATGGTTGGAGCAGGGATGAACTTTCATTAACTTGATCATTTTGTTTCTAATTGATCAAAACCACGGTATCACGTACGCTGTTCTTGCGTCAATGTGGCGGCATGTGTCTAAAATATGAAAATGATAGCAGATCAATATGTTACATGCAGATGGTTCACGTCAAAAACAGTCAATCCAAAACGCTTTATAAGATTATTATACATTTGCCACCAGAGTCACGTTAGTCCTAACATTTTATGAAAATGGTCGAATGAATAAGAAGTGATCATTTAATTAATATATAAACGGATTTCTTCTATGTTTTCAAGATTTTTTTTCTTTTATAAACTGACAGTAAATCTAACCAATAAGCCAAGACATTTTCCATTCATTTGCAGAAGAATAAGTTGCTCCCCCCCCTCCCCTGTGTATTAACTTTCGGTTATTACAGGATCTGAAAGGATCTGAAACAAAAATGCATTCTCAATAAGAAAACATGAATATTTCACCGATTTATACAGGATTTTTTAACGGGATTCCGTGGTCGCAATGGACTTCCAACATGTCATCTTAATATAACGCATGTACTTTCTAGATTTTGTGGTGTTATTTTAACACGAAAAATTGTAGAAAAAGTTTTCTGTTGAAAACTTGAACATTTCGACATTTTGAGGAAAAGTTCAAATTAACACATTGGTTTAAATTACTGTCGAAAATTCGAAACCTTGCAGGAACTTGATCCAGGAGTTTAGTAATAAACTACCTTCTCGATTTTAGGGCTTGACATCCATTTTGTATGATAGAAAAATTATGGTGTCTCGGTAAGAAGTATGATATTTTGACGCTGCGTGGAAAAGTTGTGGTAAACGCACTGTCGCCTTGTTATAATAGCATGTCCGCAAAAAAAGAATTCCCAAGGAATTATAGTTCCTATTTTGTTATTGTTCCTATATACGCAATATAATGTTCATACATGAAAAAAATCACTAAACAAAAATAACTAATTTTTGTTTGTAACATAAGAACAAAAAATATCAAAATTTTGGTGAATTTTCTTTTTTTATATGACTATTCTTTTGCATGAATAAATAAAGATTTTTTTTCAAATCAATGTATACACCTTTAACTTACTGTTACAATTACTTGTTGAAGTTAACTTATAAAATTAACAGAGCACGACAACATTTAGGAGAAAATCAATATAGTTTCTTGAAAAAATGTGAATGTGTTAATGAAAAATATGTAGGCTCATCGATTTACTAGTGAAATAGCAAGAACAAAATGATCCGCGTCACGACAAAACCAACATAGTGGGTTTGCGACCAGCATGGATCCAGACCAGCCTGCGCATCCGCGCAGTCTGATCAGGATCAATGCTGTTCGCTATCAAATTCTCTACTTGCTATAGGGTTTGTAAGAGAACAGCATGGATCCTGATCAGACTGCACGGATGCGCAGGCTTGTCTTGATCCATGCTGGTCGCAAACCTATCATGTTGGTTTTGTCGTGACGCGGCTAAAATCACAACTCTTTTCAACGATTCGTGAAAAGGTATTTACAAATTCAGAACTTTCAACAAAGGCATAATAACAAACTTATACGAACGTCTAAACTTGTGTGGTTATATTCTATTTTTATTCTAATCATGCCATGTTTTCTTGGTGACACATAAACGCGTGTCATTTAATTTAAAAGTTTATTACTCTTTACTACATGCAAAATGCTTCACTAACTAATTCAAGATAGTGAAAACAGTTGGGACATACTGTTAAAAAATATTGCTTTGTCTGTGAAATAATACGACTTTCTAGTCCGTTTAGTTCATATGATTGATGAACTGATCGACACGCAAAATAAATATGTACATAATTATCGTTTGAACAAGTTACTCCACTTTAATAGCTTGATTTTTTTGTATATTCAATATAATTATCATTTTCATGTTTCCACCTGTATACTTAGGCACCGTACTAATAATATCTGTCATATTTTGCGATTCGGATCGGAATATCCTTCCCGAGGTGCCCCGCCCATTGGGCGGTAACGAGGCTTGCCGAGTTACCGCCCATGGGCGGGTGACCGAGGGACGGATATTCCGATCCGAACCGCAAACATATGTCAGATATTTTTTCTTGCATATTCTACCATATTCCATTATATTTTAAATTCTTTATCTTTATTTTCAATGAAAATTTATATCATTACAACCGTAACTACTTTCATTCAACAGCGTATGAATTACAAAATCATTCATAACGGTAAAATGACGTCATCTTTATCGTGCCATTGTATAGCACGCGACTCATCTGGAACCCCCCATGCCAGATGAAATTTCCGGCATGGGTAAAACTAACGGAAACGCCAGTCTGATATGCAAGAAAATTTTGTCAATTATAAGATGTGGTCACAGCAAAACACAGCATTTATGCTGTTTTTTCTTTCTTCAGTAACATTGGTCGAAGAAAGGTCTTTCCATATGTAGTTGAATAAATTTGAAAAAAAGTCGACTTACTAATCTATTGAGACAATTGCACTAATCTAACTAGTATTTTTGAAAAGATTCGACATTCAAGTCTTTCTGAAAATATTATTTTGTTAATAAAACAGAAAGGTAACAATATTTCATTAAATAATAGATCTATATTTCTACAGTAACATATAAGGTATGGTGCAAAAAGAAACCCATGCCAGTAATTATCAGTTTAACGGAATAAAAATGCGGTGTTAGAATTCAGTGTTGTGCAGTGCTCAAATATTTGTGTCTGTAGGACTTTTTTCACCATATATTCCCCAAAAAAAAAAAAATACGATGGAAACACACATTTTTGTGTGGAACTTGACTTTAGGCTTAACCATTCTATATGAGCCGCGCCATGACATAACCAACACAATGAGTTTGCGACCAGTATGGATCCAGACCAGCCTGCGCATCCGCGCCGTCTGATCAGGATCCATGCTGTTCGCTTACACACCCTTACAAACCCTATTGCACCACCTCCGTGGTCGAGTGGTTAGAGTCGATGACTTCTAATCCATTTACCTCTCTGGCGTGGGTTGGATCCCCGGGAGATGCTTTGGTAGTTTAGCACGGAGGAAGGTAGTCTAGTACTGGTGTAACTCTCCAGGAACGATGGTTAGGAAACTACCCGCCTATATGACTGAAATACTGTTGGAAAAAGGCGTAAAATGACACAAACAAACAAACAAACAAACCCTATTACAAGTAGAGAAACTGATAACATCCTGATCAGACTGCGCGGATGCGCAGGCTGGTCTGGATCCATGCTTGTCGCAAACCCATTATGTTGGTTTTGTCATGACACGGCTCAAATATATAATTATATGGGCTCGTCAGGTCATATCTTAAACACATCGTCGTTATAGCGCAGGTTTTTTTGACAAGTACGAGTCATGTTGAGGTCGACACGGCCTTTTGTAAACACTATTTCTTCGAAATATGTGATGTTTTGCTAATTGTGTTGTGTTACATTACGATGATTTGTTTAAAAAATTCGATGGAATAATTAAAAAGTTGGAGTCATTTTGTAATGTCTAGCATTTTCAGCTATTTCCTACAATTCGTTTAGCCGGCCGTTAGTATTTTGTCCAGAAAGATACAGTGTCTCGGTTAGAAGTAAGATATTTTGAAGTTGCGCAGAAATGTTGTGGTTAACTCCCTATCACCGTGTATAAGCACATATTCTTTTACTTGCTCTCATTAACTAAGTTATTAGTCATCTTTTAAGACAGTCAAAGAATTCCTTTCGGAGATATACGCCAATCAACAGATTGATTTGCTTTTATCGTCTGCTATACATATATTTTTTATGGCTTTCAATGAGGCATTATAAATTCCTTCAGAATGGCTTTTTTTCAGCAGCATTTAATTTTCTTGCATATCAGACTGGCGTTTCCGTGAGTTTAATCCATGCCGGAAATTTCATCTGGCATGGGGGGTTCCAGATGAGTCGCGTGCTGTACAATGGCACGGTTAGGATGACGTCATGGGCGGGTCACCTCGGGACGGATATTCCGATCCGAACCGCCAAATATGACAGATATTATTATTCATCTTAAATACATTTGGTACACTCTCAAATTTGTTACAGGGATTCTTTCGGCGTTCATTTTCCCGCCCAGAGTATGTTTGTGCTGGAAATAATGACTGCTTACTTCAGCCCCGGAGACGGAATAATTGTCCTGCATGTCGTCTGCGTAGATGTCAGGAAGTTGGAATGTCAAAAGAAGGTAATATAATATAAATTTGCAATATACAATAATGTCTATCGGTAAAGAATCAGAACAAATATAGAAATATTTTAATATTATTACTATTTTTATACATGTTTAGCTTCTTAGCGTAGGTTAGACCAAAATAATACCTATTGTGTAAGACTGACCAAAAGGTCCGAAAAGTTGCGGCTATCATTGTGACAGATTCTGTTTGTAAAGTCTTTGCCAATTGTAACAAATCTATATATTTTTTGGGATATTTTTGAAGACTGTATTTGATAAAGTTGTTATTGTATACGATAATTTAAATGATACTGCTATTATTAGGCACAGTTTACTATTCAGTCGGTAAAAAGTTTGAAATTTACGCCAAAAACAGCGCATGTTTTGTCCAAACTGAAAGATGTACAAGGTCCTTCAAAGCAGCACGCCTTCAGATTGATACTAATTTTCATGAAAATTTGAAAATGTATTTAAAAGTATAATATTGCGGAGTTACCAAAAGAATGCAATCTACACATTATCAATGACACTTTCAACCCATGTAAATTACCATAAAGAGGTCAAAATATGCAGAATAGCCCTTACTGCGTTAGTAACGCAGTAGAAATATAGTAAAACTGTTATAAATACTGAAAAATCGGTCATTAATGGCTCATAAAATGTAAATTATTACCAGAATTTTGAATTTTTATGTTTTTCCTAAAGTTTTAGTACATTTTTTACAGGTTTGATTTTATCGAAATAGTTTTGCTCATCTGGAGGCGTGCAGCTTTCAATATATTTTCCCGTAAGCTAATGAATATAACGTTTTCTTATTCCCAAGCAATAAAAACAGGGCGTTATTCTTACGAGAAGAAGACACAATACATAACGGAAGTGAACATGGTTGGCATCCAGATTAGCTCGACAGATGTTTCACTCAAAAATGAAATAACACATAATCATCAACCGGAAACGACATGTACCGGTGACAATAACACTTCTTCATCGAGCCCTTCATCCATATGTGTTGAAAACAATCTTTCGGAGGACAAAAATCTTTCAACTTTTCATATAAAGAAGACAGAATACAACCGATCAGACAAAAGTCGGAACGATCAGACGCTTGATATATCCATGAATGCGTCTGAAACAGATGGTGAGAATTATAATATTATTCAGAGTTTACTCAAATCACAAGACATGTTAATTGAAGATCTCGACGCTTTCCTCGACGAAATACACATGAAGAAACGACAAAAGGAATTCCATGTAAGTAAATTAAGTATTTTTAATTGTTACAGAAATTGTTAAATGTAAGATTAAGGAACACAGTGATACATCGGTATATTTAGACGAAGTTAAAGATAACTAAATGCCTTATGACAATCTCTGTCTTGAATCTACGCTAACTTTTCATCTTTTAAAGCAACACGACTCCAGGTTCATGCTTATTTTCATGAAAATTTCGAAATTGTATATAAAAACTTAAATATTGAGAAGTGAACAAGACAAATAATTTTCAAATTAAACAGCACTTACAACCCATGTAATTTACCAAAAAGATGTCAAAACATGCCAATGTAGCCCTTACTGCGTCTGCCTTAGTCACGCAGTAAAAATACATGTATGGTGAAAAATAATGCAAAATCGGTAATAAATCGCTAATAACATCGTAATCACTAAAAGTATTATGTTTTTTACAATCTTTTTATTTTTCTTATAATCTTAGTTATTTTTATCCAGTTTAAATTTCTTTGTTTATCATTACATTCAATATTGTATTGAGGCCAACAATATGATTACTAATGCTATCAGCAGTATGTGTATGATTGTTTGACTGATGAAAGTTATTAAGACGCTTGTTTAGAAAAGGCCTTGTTATGGGTAATTTTTAACCCTATAGTTAGTGTTATGTTTAGTAACTGCATAGATAAAGCCAACAATTGTTTCTATCGTAAGTAGCAGACAAGGATTCGTCTGTACTCCATCAATGTTCCACAAGAGACGAACATGTACATTGTATTTTGAGCCACGCCATGACCAAACCAACATAATGGGTTTGCAACCAGCATGGATCCAGACCAACCTGCGCATCCGCGCAGGCTAATCAGGATCCATACTGTTCGGTGTCTGTTTCTCCACTTGTAATAGAGTTGGTAAGCGAACAGCATGGATCCTGATCAGACTGCGCAGATGCGCAGGCTGGTCTGGATCCATGCTGGTCGCAAACTAACTATGTTGTTTTTGTCGTGACGCGGCTCTTTTTTCATCACGGCTTTGGGATGAGCTGTCGTCGCCAACGTTGTCACTTTCTTCAATGGTGTTTAGGCTTAGATGTTTTGATTATTTTTTTTATTTCATTTGGAACAATTTTCAAATGTGTTTGGAATGATTTGAAATTGTTTAGAAATTGTTTGGCTTTATTTAAGGCCAGTTTTTTTGTCGTGATCAGTGATGAATTACTTTCGTAGAGTCTTTATTGACACTTTATATGAAACGAAATATGACTACAGTTTAGATCTACTTAAGTTATTTCTTGCATGTAGATCTTTAGGCATACCGTTATTAAGAACCTGGTTTTAATCAGATCCACGTGAAACTTGATAAAAATGAACTTCAAGCAGAGCACAACATCTCAAAATATGATACGAATATGTTCTTGTCACCTTTGTTTACCTCTATAGATATGATGCAAATTCGCTTAATATGATACAAGATCCATACTAAATATGATACAATCGTTACATAACCTACGACTTTGGAATTAGAGCATAACTTGGTTTATAATGTTCAATCAGTCATTAAGAAGACCTTTTCAATAATCGTATACACTCTTTTTGTGCAATTTAAGCGATTGAAACCAAAAACTCAAGCATAGTCTTGACGTGAATATTCATAATCTGTTGTTTAAGGATTTAAAACATATTAATTTGGAATTCTAGGATTGACGTACATTAAAACGGGATTTGTAATTAGTTACAACAACAACAACAACATAGGACCCCCCTCCCCCAAAAAAAACAACAACAACAAACAAACAAACGAAAAGTTCACTTACATTCACCGAGTACTTACATACGAAAATAGTAACTAAACTCAACAATGTACCCCAATACTGTACACAAAATCTGAATGTTTTGCTCACTAGCATAAGTATCAGATACAGCAGGATTCTTGACTTCTAGCATGTTTCACAATGGTGTTTTCATGGATGCCTTGTTTAAAACAAAACAATACAGAATTATGGGCCTTCCATTACTATAATATAGCAGTCAGATTACTTGTTCTTTATAGAAACAATCAATTATATAACTTTATGATTCGTATTCTGGTATGTTTAAAGTATAGATCGCTACGAATTACGTTTCATTGAAATTTTCTTTCGTTATTTCAGCGCAGAATCCAAAGCGAGGCACCACGGTCTCTAGTTAAATGCTCAAATGCCCCAAAGAGCAATTTGGAGACGAAAAGGTATTTATGTATCTGACACTATGTTTGCGTTGCATTCTTTTTAAATATTGCGTTAGTAAAAATATCTTTATCGCATTAAGAATTGTTGACACTTATTATCGCTTATTTAAGCGTTTACAAGCTTGGTTGCAGTTCAAAGTCACAGTGATGGCTTCATTAGACACGAAGAATCACGGGGAATACCGAAGCACAGAGTTTAATATGCATGTATCACCGGGGATCCTGTCATACGATTCTTTCTTATTTGAAGTCTTTAGATGAAGTTCATCATTCTTTTCCGAAATGATCCACAAATGTAATAAATGTGCAAAACAAAGTAAAGAACTGGTAGGCCAAATGTAAAATACATTAGCTAATTTGTTGTGTGGGAACAACTGGGTGCTGATATTATATCTAAATATCAAACTAAACAACAAACTCGGCATGTAATGGAATATCGGAACAAGAAGCTGGGAACATCATTTCAAATACAAACTCCTGGATTACAAAGTAAATTATTATGCATATAAACGAGTGAAATCACTAATATACAAATAGAAAAATATATTATAACATAGCTTTATTATTGTTATCAACACTCGTCGACAACAAAATGCACCTTCATTTATCTTTGCTCTGCCGGTGATTTCTAAATAAGTTTCCAATGCAGGCCAAGAACAGCCGGAACATTAATGTCTTCTGATCATTGTCTACACTATTCGGTTTTTAGACTGTACGTATCTTGAAAATTTCCTTAAAAGTAGAATAGATTGAAAGATGGACAGTCCCATTTAGGATATTCACTATTTTTCTGTTTGGTTGCAGAAAGTACACTAGATTCATTTACAAACATCTCTGTTATTTGTATTGCTTGTCATTTTTTGTTTTTAATGGTTGCCTTGGTAATTGTGTGCAGTAGACATGTCCTTCCTTTAACATTAGAATTTCAGCAGTTTTATATATGATAAGACGTGATTTCTGTGTATGGTGTTGACAGGTAGTGATACGGCACTTGCGTTAACAAACTTTGTAAACAATTTCTCACATGTAAGCACTGATAATCTCCCTTGCTTTTTAACACAGAGACGAGCAGATGGACAAAGTAGCAGAACTTATGGATAGTGAATTTAGAAACACAATATCGTTCATCAAAGCTATCCCTGGTTGGAAAACTTTGGATATGGAAGACCAGATTAATCTCATTAAAGGTGAGTATAGATGAATAAATAACTTGTAACCATGACAATGATATATTGTTTATACTATTAAGAATATTCTAGATGTGTTTGGCTAAACTGGAAAACAAATATTATTAAAACACATAGAAAAACTTTTTTCAAAGAACTGACAAAAAGAAGTGCGAAAAATGAACTGTAATAATGATATAAATACATGGTTGCCGAAATTTCAAGGTTTCGTGTGAGTCGCTCAATTCGTTATATCTTTCTTTGAAGAAACATAACTCGGGGACATGTATAAGCATTTCCAAAAATGCATGAACTCGACATTCATCCATGAATATAGTTCATTTCTTGCCTTATATCTTTATTGAATCAAATATTTATTGACGTGATATCAGTATGTGAAGTTAAATTGATTATAATAAACGCTGCAAAACTGGACTCAAATGCATCTTTAATCATCCTGTTATTCACGAATTTCAGAAGGATCAGCGGAGTTATGGATCTTGGGTCACTGTCAATGTATAGATACGGAGTTAGGTGTGTTCACTGGAGAATACGACATGTCTTTCCAGGATGCTGCCAGAATTTGGACAGATATCTATGTGGAAAGTGTTTATAAGGCCAGCCAGAAGTTTAACAAATTAAAACTGTCCAAAGAGGAACTGGTTGTGCTCAAGACCATTGTGTTAACATTCCCAGGTATAACATCTTCTCATGTACAGGTTATATGTATTTATTTATAAATCAAGTTAGGTATCATTTTAATAATGCGGTTACACCCCTTGGTCTTTGTAGGTAAACCATATAATAATAATATATTTTAAATATATTTTCAATGTAATAACTATTTTATTATTGTATCGTTTTAAACATGACTTTTAATTTCGATGAGGTGTCTGCCTATCAACCCAGGGATCATGGGTCCGATTCCTGCTTGGGTCACGACCATGTTTCCTTATGTCACCAGTTCTGATGGATTTCAGGAAGCGGACTTAAAAATGATTAATATAAATTGCAATAATTTGTTTTGCAATCAAGCTAAAAGTAATATGTTTAACTTAATTAACAAAATAAATTATATTCATACATATAAGCATTAATTTTCATCATTTAAATTCCACTTCTAGATATTTCAATTGAAAACGTGATGCTAGAGATGTAAAGGTAAATCCTGGGTTGTCATAAATTTCACGGCAAAAACAGGAAATCGACAAGTGGGCTACTTTAAACACATTAAACATATCGTCCTTTCATTTTAGATAATCCTTGACAGCATGCTTGTATTTTATTTAAACCTATCATATAATATGTGAACAGGTCAAGGTCAATGTCACCTTTGAAATCAAATGTCAGGCGTGATGTCTTATACCCATTAAGACATAGCTCAGTAGTTCACGTCATCAAGGTTATATGCTAAACTGAAACTGCCACTGTACCAGGTCAAGGCCACTTCAGTTAAAGGTCAAGGCTATCGAGGCTGAAAATATTTTTATTTGGCTTTTGTGTCACATTGAATCAAGCTTGCTAATGAAAATAATCACCTGTGTCACGTTTATTATTGTTTAGGCAACAACCGGTTCTTTTGTTATGTCTTATTAATTACAATCAAATGCTATACGTTGTATTGATCTTCACTAGCAAAATATGGAGAGAGTTAGTAAAAACACACGTATTCTCTTTATTTTGATTTGTAGATCGGTGTACCTTGGTCAAAAGAGATGCCGTTGAGCAAGTGCAATGGCGAATGATCGAATGTTTCCATTACCTTTGCAAGAAAAATGGCTTATCGTTCAATGAAAGATTTTGTAAAATCACAGACGCTATATTGACTGCTCGAGATATGACGGAAAAGTATAAGGAAATTGTAAAAACTGTCGTCTGCCAATGGGAAATATTTGAAAAGTACCCGTTGCTGAAAGAATTCTTCAACAGCTTCTAGTCATTAAAAATAAGCATACATGTATTTTAAGCCGCGTCACGACAAAACCAACATAGTGCGTTTGCGACCAGCATGGATCCAGACAAGCCTGCGCTTCCGCGCAGTCTGATCAGGATCCATGCTGTTCGCTTACCAACTCTAATACAAGTGGAGAAACTGACAGCGAACAGCATGGATCCTGATCAGACTGCGCGGATGCGCAGGCTGGTCTGGATCCATGCTGGTCGCAAACGCACTATGTTGGTTTTGTCATGGCGCGGCTCATTTTATCTAACGTTCGTTCATTGCAATGATAAGTGTTCTTATTTTGGATATATTCCAGTAGTGATTTTTCGTTTCCGTGAACGTCATTATTTACCGGTGTTTTAAAGTTTATGTTGCGTCCAACGTTGTTTAGTTAGTGTATAGTAAAAGCTATCAGTTGTCACAGTATGCATCTAAAGTAATGCGTCCATTATCGTCATTTCTTATATCTAAATTTACGTCACCATTTCTTTCATCTGTCATTGAATATACATGTACTATTGTTTTCCTTATAAATAACAGCTCAACTAGCATCAAACACGGATTGAGTACTTTTTGGCGAGTTGGCGTCCTGTGACGTCCAAGAGGCTTGATAAGTTTCAGCTGTATCTTGGAAAAAAATATTTTGGCCAAAACATATGGTCGGGGTTACCTAAATAGGGCATTGACGCTTCCGTCTGGGCGGCATTCAACCTCAAACTTAGACAATTATTCATAATTTTTACACCCTTGACGAAAACTGTCGTTCTATGTGACAAACGGTACAGAGTTTTGTGTGTTTTATACCCCTAACCTCATACCTGTTTTGTCATAATCATAAAAGGAATGTCTGTTTTTCATAACTATTTCGCCGAACAGTACATGGTATTCTGCAAATTCTGTTTTGCAGTGTAAAAATGTTTTAAGCGACTATGCTCTTTGGAGTGATATATTCTTGATTTCATATGCCATTTCAAATCTTAGTTGAGGAGATAAACAAAATTTAATTTGAAATCGTAGTACTATTGCTAGTAGAATATATAAATTAGGAACGACCGTTGAATGTCTTAAAATTTATTAGTCTTTTCTGTATATCATAAATAACTTATTTTAGATCAATATAAAACAGATCACAAGATATATTACTATACTACATTACCCGTTTTATGATAATATACATGTACATGTATTAGGAATGCACAATCGATTACATTTAAGGAATTCCACTAAGGTCCAGTCCACAACACCCCCACCCGCCCGGAAATCATTAATTTTCAAAATGTTTCATAGATCACTCGGTACAAATAAATAAGGACAAAATTTGAAAAAAGATTATAAAGAAATATTCTTGAAATTATGGTCGATTTATTTTCTTAATCTTAGCATGATTCGAATTGAACAGTTTAAACTATTTTCATGTAGGTCATTTTGCTACATACAAAAACTTATACTGGGAAAACGGAATGAGTAAATGATCTGAATGTTTGCACTAGGTCTTCATCAAATGGTATAAAAATCTCAGAAAAATATTTCCTGTCCGGTCTTGTCAAACAACCTCAGTGGAGTCTCTTTGAAATGAAACGATAGTTACAAAGTAATTACTTTGATCAACACAGTTCAGCATTATATAAAACATTGCTACAGTTTCACAAGTTAACACCATAGTACAATTTGTTTTATTCATTGCTGTCATATACAAGCTAAGGATCTGAACTGATTGGTTACAATCAACCTTGCTGCGATGTTAATACGCCCGAATGTGTTGTTTTCTTACACATACGCTACCACGCATAGTAAAAAGTTTTTTTTCCAAAAAGACACATAAATGCATGCAAACTACTTTTGAACACACTGCAAACAAGTGCATTTTTACACAAAATAATATTATGCACAGCATAAAAAGGAATGCTAACACCCATAACACGTCAGATATTGCGTCAGGCAGGAAAATTACTGCTATGCTCAATGTAGTTCAACATATCAACATATTTTTTTTATCAGTTCTTTTGTTAGAACAAAGGGTACGGCTCATTGAATGTTCACAAAATATGTATTTGATGGTAGAAAACATTTATCCTAAGTCAGAAATGAATTCTAAGTCCATTCCCATTTCACTATATACTAATATATAGACAAGGGTAACAACTCCCATAAGAAGGTGTCTATGCCCAATCAGGGTTTTCGCCTCGCAGTTTTTTTAAACGATAAGCATAAATAAAAAGGAATTCTGCAATATGTAGTCGAATAATTTATCTATTGAACCAATGTAAAAATGTTCTTATCTCTCTTTAGTCTTATACTTAACGAGTACTGGCCGCCAAAGTAACAAAATCAAAGCACAGAAGGCGCTGAATTTGTTTGGGTCTCAGAATGTAAGAAAGGTGCAGGTTGTGAGATTATATGTATAGTGCCACCAATGCTTTCCAGCGTTTTAATTGTAGTAAATTGGCTATAAGACTAATTGCAACACTGACTTTAACAATTTGAAAAAAAATGAGTTACCTTTATTTGGATTTGAACTCCAGACCTCTCCTAAGCGAGGCCGAAAACCCTTCAGCCACGGTGAATTTATATGTGAACGGCCTGAAGAAAACCATATTATTCTAAATTAGGGCTTGTAACGACTTTAACTGTTGTTTAACACAGATGTAAATAATCCTGGAGCTTACTATAAGCATGTATATTTATAGAGAATCTGAGAAGGGCTGCAAGTTCTGTGGTATTTTCTGATCTTTGCAATCTAAATCGTACAGTATAGCTGTATGCATTTTCCTGTATAAGTTTATTTTTATGTATTATAATTCATTTTGCAAAGCACCAGCGTTTTATACATACGGAATTCTGCATAACTAGAGTTGCATCAAAAAATCATTTATGTTCATTTTTTACGACAGCCACACTTTATCCTTGCATATCATGGCTACTTTCTTTACAAAGACACTTAAAAAAGAATTTAACACACAAAAAAAGTTTCCTCGACTGGGATTTGTACCACGGAGAAGTTATACAAACAATGATTGATTAACATCAAGTCATTCTAAATTAAGAACTTTCATTGCATTTCGGGTTTGTAATCCTAATTAATTTCGAGGTATTTTGTTCAGGATAGACCTAAAATTGAAGTAAATATTTTAGCGAAAATCTTATCGCCCAAACAGCCCGACATGTAGAATCTATATATTCCACTACTCGGTTTGTGTAGTATTCGGTAATTGACATCGCTAAAAATAGTATTTTCATTGATAAAATCATATTCATCCGCGTAATTTGTGATTGTGCATTTATTGACAATTCTATGAGCCAACGCTACTGTTTAACTTTGAATGCGTTATAATTTGTAGGATACTTGTAACAAAATAAAATATTTCTTTCTTTTAAATCGCTAGTTTTAAGCTGTTTTGAGAACTACTTGTTGTTAGGTTTGTCGTAAAATTCTGTGTCAGAGATTGAATGTCCGCTTTGTATTTACTTATTTTCGATCAGAAAATACAATAAAACAATATTAGAAATCTTCGACCATTCGGGAATTTCTTTGCTTGAAAATTAATGAGCCTGTCTTTGACCATCTTTACGCAGTGATCTCCCCTGAATTTTTCGGCGTTAGTGTACATACAAAAGGGAAGTAACCGCTTCAAAAAAGTGGACTACTTTCGGCATTTGCAATTAACAACATTAGACTCTGAAATTTCGCTACCATTATTTGTTTGGTCTGACGACCCAGACAAATAAAAACTGTTCATTTTTGCGAGGTCGACATCGATCGTGGCTACGCAGGAAACACAAAGTTACACGACTGTTGCAATCGTTAGAGATAATATCACAAGCATTTATCATGCTGGGCAATTAAAAATACATAAAAGTAATCAAAATATTCCAATAACCTATAATGACAATGTAAAATAAAGTCACCTGCGTCTTCAGAGCATTTCCCCGTTGAAATTTCTCTAAAAACACCACCATCTTGGCGAATATACAAAACCGTCGTCTGATTGGTCGTTTTTTTTTCGGAAATTTACGGGTATATTTTCGGGAAATAAATCGAAATAGAATTCATTTCTGACTTAGGATAAATGTTTTCTACTGTCAAACACATATTTTGTGAACATTCAATGAGCCATACCCTTTTGTGTTAGAATGAAAATATATATTAATTAATCATCGCTTTTAAAAGTGAAACGCAACTAACGTGAACTTTAGTCCAACTTTACGTAAAAGGATAAGCAAATCTTTTAACGGAATGTTAGCGAAACGCCCGCCATATGTTCTTTTCATGTTTACAGGTAAAAATAACATTATTTAGGGGATTGAATTTTATAATCATATTGCAATATAAGACCATCGTCGGGACCCACGGTACACATTTCGTATATACTACCTACTGGTATACAGTAAATAGCCTAGGTTACAGGAGTTGAACTTTGTATATAGTGCCATCGTCAGGTTTACTATTGTTACATTGTTGTGGATAAGAATTATTTTATGGTTAGATATATGTTATTTATATGTGAATATGATCTCAAGATGTCGTCACAGCATGTCAAGTTTGCTCAATAAATTGTTGTAGTTTTGTTGTTATTGTTTTTCAACTTATTTTTGAACTTCTGTGTTGACTTCATCAAAATTTTATATCGGCATTTGACAGCGAGCATTGTTCTGTCACTAGGGTGTTTACAAAAACTAGAAAACTGAACTAAGATTCGTCAGCTGTTGGTCGCCTGGTTTAGAAAATTACTTTCCATCCGTAAAAACCCGGCGCTATATATAATCAAAGCACTGCAAGCGCTGAGGTATACATTGCTTGACATCAAGACCATGTGATTTTAATCTACTGAACTCAATAGAAGTCATCTTCTGGTTACAGTCAATTTCGAACACAAATCTAGGCTTATTTCTTCTCAAGTTATTAATAGGACAAGAAAGAGGTGTTTTTCCAGGCAAGACTATATGGTTTGCGAAACTGAAGAGCAATACAAAAATCAGTTTGCAAAGACCGGTTTTTTATCTGCAGTATACAATGCTGAAATAGTAAAATAGAGTCTTCAGTGCTTTTATCTATTACTTAAAAAAACAAGACCAACATGCGGGTTTGTAGTCTACAAAAATATGGTATTGAATGATTCAGCAAGACTTAAAAGTTAGGTGAACATTTTTGTTTACATGCAAAACGCATTCACTGGAAAAAATGCACTCCATAGTGCAATTATTGATTCAAAATAAAAGCATTTGTACTTGACAAAATTTAGGCATCAAAGCCCTAAGCTCTAGCCTTGTACATTCTTAAATTTTTACTACAAGTACATTACGAAAATTAATGACTCCCCCCCCCCCCTCCCACAGGGCAAATTTTATCCCAGGGCTAAAATTAAAACAATCTAGGTAGAGGTCGACTACACAATGTTTCATGCCAAATATCTTACCTCTAGTCTTTGTCAATTCAGAGGAGCATACTGTTTAAGTTTTTTTCTCTATATATGTATATACATTTAAGGAAATCCTAAGACACCATGGTGCCTGGTAAACCTTGTACCTTCAGACAAGTTTTTTTAAAGTTTTTTACTTCATACATACCATATAATGAAAACCTAAAAAGACTCCTTGGCAGAGCCATTTTGACCCCAGGGCTATAATTTGAACAATAGTGATAGATGTTTACTACACAGGTAAAGGTTTCATGCCAAATATCAAACATCTAGCCTTTGTCAATCCAGAGGAGAATATTTTTTATGTTTTTTTTTCTATACATGTTTATACATTTAAGGAAAACCTATGACACCCTGGTGCTATTTCACTAGGGGCAACATTTGAACAACTTTGGTAAAGGACGTACTGATGATATTATTTACCAAGTATCTAAGCTCTAAGCCTTAAACCTTCTGATAAAAAGATTTTTAAAAAAGTTTTTGCTATATACATATAAGGAAAACCTTAATATTTATATGACCCCAGGGGTGAGGCTAATTTTGACCCTTGGGCTGTAACGTGAATAATCTTGGTAGAGGTTAACTACCAAATGTTTCATGACAAATATCTAACCTCTAGTCTTTGTCAATTCAGAGGAGAAGATTTTAAGTTTTAACTACATACATATCAGGAAAATCTATGAACCCTAGTGCAGGGCTAATTTGACCCCCAGGGTATAATGTGAAAATCTGTGGATGTCAACCAGACGTACAATGCCTTTTGCAAAATATCTATGCTCTATGCCTCATTTGAGTCTTTGAACAACTTTGGAAGCCCTTTACTCATGGAACAACCCTGTCAAGTTTGGTTGAAATTGGACAAGATGTTTCCAAAAGATGTTAACTATATAATGTATAAAACACACACACACATGCACGCATGCATGCACACACACACAAAAGAGGGGAATCGCTTTATGCCAACACAGCATCTACATGCATCAGACCAGCAGTCCAACACATTTTCAAAAAATAAAATGACAATTACATTGTTGATGTGTTGAAAGCCTTGTGAAATTTAATAAAAGCTTGATAATATATAGAATAAACTTTCATTTTTACATTCCAAACTGTAAACAAACAATATGAGGTATGGTACATGTTATGGTCAACCAAGTGGATCTCATTGGAGCTAGGTGGAGAGGAGTGTGGGAATCCAAAGATTAGTAAATCATGTTTGCTTACTGAGTGCATCAGAAAGTATTTAAGCACTAAGTTGAAATTTATATGGCATAATGCACTTTATGTGTGTTAATATGCTATATATCAAAATTAAATACTCGCTATCTTTTTTTATGTTAACTATAAACTTAAAGAATTAATACATTTCTTTTATATAATCTATGAATTCAGTTTATAGTATCTTTTTTGGTTTGACTTTTATCACAGTCTGTGCTTTTTGTGATACCATACTATTGTTTCCGGCACCTTTACTCCAAGTAAGCAAATGAAGTAATTGAAGACCAGGACCTTGAGTGTAGTAACTTCCTTTCAGAGTGGGGGATCTGAGCATCACTGTCTGTCTTGTCCACCATGTCTCGATATCGGATTTGTCTTGGTACAGACCACCCTGTCTCATGGTCTGCAAGGTCCTGCATGTATGGCCAGCTGGGACTGTTTAATGTCACCGAGGAGAACTCCATATAGTTTTTTGACAATCAATAAATATTTTACTATCCAATAGGAAAAAAAAGATTCATGTAGTATCTTTTTTAGCTAAATCCAGAGACACTCAGAATACCATACCTCAGCACTACCAAAAAACCCAGAACCTTTGGAATACCATACAGCAGCTCTACAGCTTAAATATTTTCAGTCTCATAGTTCTATGCATTGACATAATCCACAGCATATTGAAATTTTTCCTTTTTCATTGGCACACTTAAGTAACAAAATGAATTGACTATGATTCAGTTATGTACCATCATAAACATATATTGGACCCTAAAAGTAACAGGGTGAAAATATCACAGGGTGAGAAAAATGTGCAGTTTGACCGGAATCAAACCTGAATCAGAATATTATACATGTATGTGGGCTGTACTGACTCACTCAGCTGAGCTATCTAGCTGGCAATGTCAATAATCTACTACACATGGGCATAGAAGTCAAAGAAACATTCATTGATAATTTATGACCCATTATTTAAAGTAAATCATATCAGAAACATCCCTTGAAAATGATATCATTTCATTTTTGACCCACAGTTATTACCACTACCTCCTAATGGGCCTAATTAAACTGAGCCTGCAGAATTTTATAATTTTGCTGTCTGTCAAACATGGCAGTTTCTTATGGGTTTCATCTTTATCTCCATTTGAAGGGATGTAACTCATGTTTACTAAATAGTTTGTTCTTATCTGTCTATCTTAGCCATTACAGACTATTCTAGCTGTATATAAACATAAAAAATCTTTTATATTAACAAACAGAACATAAAAAGATGAAAAATTTACCAGTTGGAGAAATTCATCAAATGGATGGAGGTCCAGGAATGATGAATATGGATAGAAATATTTTTTTTGACTGGCTTTATGTACCTTCTAGTTATTGTGGCAAGAAATTTTATAATTATTCAGTTAAACCTGGTTTTTCAGTTAAGATTTCATCATAAAAAGATCTTCAGGACTCTAAATAAATTCATATTTGTGGTATCAGGGGAAATTAAATTACTATTTGTGCTAAATCTGATCATAAACATCAATCTAAATATTTAGAATGTACCTGTGTTGAGTGTCATATTTCACTCTTCACTTTGGTTATCCCAGGTCAACCCTTTTTTTTTTACAAATGGCTTTAATTTAACTGCCCATGCAATCATAAGCTCATATATGGCTAATAATTTTACCTTATATATATCAATAGTCTAAGGAGTTATGGAAAAAAATGTTAAGGGTTGCTCAGCCTGACTGAGTGATTTGATTGTAAATAACATATCTCAAAATATATTTCTGGACTCAACATGCTTTCAAAACTCTGTAAGAAAACTGTCAAATGATGAATATTCATCTGGATTTGTTACCCAAAATCTGTGTGATTCTAGCACTTCATTTTTTCTAGGATTGCAATAGCTTTCTATTTTGTAAAAAAAAAATTTCACTTTCAGTTTATGTTCTGCATTTGCCCATGTAAATTGATAACTTTAGGTCCAGCACAGTGTAATAGGATATTTACTTGTATCTTTTCATCTTTCTCAGCCTTTCCACTGGCAGTCAACACTGGTAAAGTAAATTTTCATTGGCGCTTCCATTTGATAAAGTTATGTGATATGTTACCATTTTCAACATCTAAATGTCCAGGGGGTCTAAACGTATCTGCCATGATTGTCAGTTCGAATAATACCGATTACGAAGGCTAATTTTGAATAATATTGAGTACAAATCCTTAGTTCGAATAATATTGAGTACGAATCTTCCCCCCTTCCCGAAAATGGCTTTTGGACGATATATTTCACTAAAGTGGCAGAAATACTTCACACTGCAGGTGTGAAACAAATAATTGCATACTCCTCCGAAGCCACCACATTGATAGGGTTCTATTATATGCAATTATATGACAATACGTTTTCAGAACGTAAACTTTAATCCATTCATACAGACGCTTACAATGTTACATAACACTAAATAAGACATATATATATGTATATGCTCGTTTTCTAAAACAGTTTGAAATAGAAAAAGTATGCAAGTCTATATTTAAAAGTAAATAAGGTTTACTTGTTTGATTTAATATTAATTTTGGATGTTGGACATATTTTTATACAAAGTCTGTCGTAATTCATTCATTCTTGCACGCGCATGCGTGGATACGAAGTTTGAAGCGTAGGTTTACACAACGCTTTTATGAATGAAATAGAAATTTTCATATTTTTTGCTTTCATGTTTAGAAAATGTTTATTTAAACTGAAAGTTCATAGTTTTGAACTTTCAAAGCTTATTGACCACTATGCAAACAGTATATTAATAAAAAGTGATCCTAATGTGACAATCCTGCAAAATGAGGATCTACTTTTATCGAGGTTTCATCCAAATGTGGATGTTGTTCAGCAAAACAGGTTAGGTGTACTAAATCTGAAATACAACTATAACTCTGTATACATTGCAAGCAATGTATACAAAAACTGAACATCATGGGAGGTAACTTCAGTTAATTCTTGGACTTCATGAATGAATTGCGTACTTGTCAAAACGTATGACGTTACATAAATATTATTTTGCATTTTAATATTATTTCGTTTCTATTTCTATTTGAGATATAATTAACCAATTTTTCTGTCTCTTCGTCATGATAATTTCTAAACATTTCAACGCTTGTGGTTGAACGAACGTCTGCTCAAATTTACCATGCGATAAAATTCCAACAGATTTCTTGCCCTTACATGTTCCGTCATTGGTAGACTTATAACTAATAACAATCTCTGCGTTTTCTAATCTATCCGTTCCTGTTTTAGGTGCACCTGTGCGAACTGCAATGCGTGAACACAGCACCGGGAACTGTAATTTCACTCTATAATATTCTCCGACCTTAGGTACTGTAGCCCAGAAAAACAACGTGCTATTGATCTCATAAGCATATTCCGGCGTGAAATTGGAATACGTTTTAAATGTTGTCTCAATAATAGCTGGTGGGTTTGAAGTTAAATTAGAAACATACAAAGGTTCAGTTGTTATTAATAACGATTTTTTCGAGGTCACTTTCGCTTTTTCATCCGGAACTATTTTACCTTCTAAAGATGAATATTTTCCTCGATGTTTGAAGACTTTCTTGACCTTACTTACTTTTTTAAAATTATGCAATTGAATTTGTTGTAGATCTTCTAATAACATATCACAAGGTTTTTGATCTTGAAAGAGCAAAAGATAGTCTTTGATCATACACAGGTCACTTGATCTGAAAAGTTTTCCAATGAAACCTTGCCCAAAGTCCAACACAAACCAATGGTGCTTTGCTTTTTCTTCTTTGATTAAAGAGTCCGTGATTATGTTTATGTACTTAGGAGTGGCCTCAACGTCATCTTCCACGTGTATATAGTATTTCGACAATTTCTCAGAATAGCCAAACAAATAAGCAAAGTCAATATTTTGCTTTGTCCTCCAGTGAACTCTCTTCATAGAATCGTTGAAGGTTTGTTTTGTCATTTTACTGAAAATATAAAAAAATGTAAACGAAATAACAGATCAACTATTAAAAGCGAGGGAAGAAGAGGTGTCCGTAAAGATGAAGAAAAAATGCTCATGTTGATGTAAGAGATGGTTATGATGATCGTGACGATTATGATGAGCGTTATCATGTGCAATTTGCAGTCGTTATAACTCTAACATTGAAGATGATGATGCTGAAGATGAAGGGGAGGAAAATGGGTAGGATGAGATAAAAGATGTGGAAAATAAGGAGGATGAGAAAAAAGAGGTGAAAAATCAGGAGAATGAGAAAAAGGAGGGGAAGATGAGGAGGATGAGAACAAAGGAGGTGGAAAATAAGGAGAATGAGTAAAAGGAGTGGAAAATAAGGAGAATAAGTAAAAGGTGTGGAAAATAAGGAGAATAAGTAAAAGGAGTGGAAAATAAGGAGAATAAGTAAAAGGAGTGGAAAATAAGGAAAATGATAAAAAGAAGATGGAAGATAAGGCCCGAGGATGAGAAAAGGGGTGTGGAATATAAGGGGGTTGAGAAAAAAGAGGGCGGAGGAGGAGTAAAAAGAAAACTTGTTATTTTCTGGTCTAAAGGAATGTAAGCTACTGAGAAAATTGGATGAAAACTGTATATTTTTATATGGATACACTATTGGCATTTCTGACGCACATGACACCGTGGAAATAGAAAAGGCATACAGAGTTGGAAGAAACAGAAAGTTTATCATCGGAAAGACAAGCTATGAATTTAACAGAGAGCAATTGGTATGAAAGGTTCAATGAATCATAGTGTAAGCGACCAGTTTCCGATTCCGGTACAGCAGCAACTTTACTATTCTCTGAAACAAACACGTAAAGCTGGATTATGATGGACAAATTTTACATGAGAATGAACTTCATCCCCCTTTACCAGAAATAGAAAATAAAATATCTCTACAATTCCTTGTTTTCATTGGCCCACGGTAATACACAATAGAAATGGGAATATTTAAATATCCTATATTGGAAAATAAATAAATTAAAGTCTTAGCTGAAAGATATGGTTTGAAAGCTCATCTCGCCATATAAATATTTTGTTGTACAAATGTAAACGGAAACGTACATGCGTACGCATGAGCCGATTGACATGGCCTTTATTACTATGAAAGCTCAGTTGAGAATGTTGAGATGATGAATATTAAAGGGTCTCCACTGAGGTTTTCTTTTGCCATGACGGGACTGATTTATTTTCGAAATAAATGCATCATTTGGTGATGGTCTAGCTTGCGTAAAAGTTTTAGATCATTCGCTCACTCCGTTTTCCCGGAATAATTATTCTAATTGTGAACAATTAGCAAAAATGGAAAACGTTGCAACGCTTTTCACTCATATCGAACAAAAACAAAAACAGCACAAAAATACTATTTATCATTATTATATTTATATCTATGCTTTATGTGCACCAGCGGATCTATTTAAAAAATCATATTTTATGTTTTTTACCTTTTGGACCTCAGTGGAGTTTCTTTAATATGAGAGATTTATTTGAAATAAACTTTAAAAAGAGCATATCGGAGGTGACATGGATATTTGTATAAGTACTTGTTATATTTCGTCTAAAGATTTAAAACTTTATTAATCTTAAAATGTTAGAGTTTAATTGTTTATTTTATTATTATTTATGGGTATATAAATTCGTATATAAAGTGATATTGTTGTCTGATTTATTAAACTGACTCCTTTTGAGTAATTGTGCAAAATTGCAAAATTTCAATTGGGAAAAAATATTAGTTATTTTATGTTTAAAGTTTTTAAAAACAAACAACAACAACAGAAACAACAACACAAAGACAAAACAGAACAACCCACTCAAAAAAATTACATTCTGAATAAATGTCTACATGAAATTGAAGTAAAACAATTACATGTACTTACTGGATATAGTTTTCCTCTTCATATGTTCGATTAACAAAGGCTACTTAAAGCGTGATCAATGTAAATGACATTCATCTCTAAAAAATGCTTGAATGAAAATAAGTGAAGTATATTTTATCTTCAAATTGTATTGAAATGTTTCAGCATAAACCCTTGCCCCTTTTAGCAATGTATATCCTTTGCTCCTTTTAGCGATGCGAATCCTTTGTCCCTTTTAGCGATGCATATCCTGTGCTTTTTTTAGCAATGCATATCCCGTGCTCCTTTTAACAATGCATGACATGTGCCTTTTTTAGAGATGAATATCCAGTGCCTCTTTTAGCGATGCATATAATGAGCCCCTTTTAGCGATGTATATCCTGTGCCCCTTTTAGCGATGCCTATCTTGTGCCTCTTTTAGCGATGCAAATCATAAGCCCCTTTTAGCGATGTATATCCTGTGCCCCTTTTAGCGATGCCTATCCTGTGCCTCTGTTAGCGATGCATATCATTTGCCCCTTGAAGCAATGCATATCCTATGACCCTTTGAGTGATGCATATCCTTTGCCCCTTTAAGCAATGCATATCCTGAGCCCCTTTTAGCGATGCGTACCCTGTGCCCCTTTTTGCGATGCGTATCCTGTGCCCCTTTTAGCAATACATATCCTATGACCCTTTGAGCGATGCATATCCTTTGCCCCTTTTAGCGATGCATATCGTGCGCTTCTTTAAGCGATTCATATCCTATGCCCCTTTTAGCAATGCATATCCTGTGCCCCTTTTAACGATGCGTATCCTTTGCCCCCTTTAGCAATACATATCCTATGACCCTTTGAGCGATGCAAATCCTGTGCCCCTTTTAACGATGCATATCCTGTGCCCCTTTTAGCGATGCATATCCTGTGCCCCTTTCAGGGATGCTTATCCTGTATCCCTTTTAGCAATACCTAGCCTGTGCCCCTTTCAGCGATGTATTATTAAAAACAAGCGTTCTATTCTACATGTGTAGTCTATAAAATGAAAACCTACCTAAAGTCCGGATAGACACTTTCAGCTGGTTGAATTATTTGTAAACCTCCCGTAGAAAGGCTATCATTGAAGTTATGTTCAATCATATGAACGGTTGCATCAACATCAGATTTATTGTGAAATCCTAGAAACACAATGATCACGATCTTTTCTTTTTGTTCATTTGTCATGTGATGAATCAGAGACGTGAGCGTATCTTTTAAGTACGTTGCCTTTGATCTCGGGACTGTACATAATCCTAAGGTAAGAAACCCTGAAGCATAAAAAATTCACTTCATAATAAAACAGAACATATAATTTGATACAACACATTTCGTATCATTGTTAAATTTTCTGCAAATACATACAGTTTATATGTATGAGGAAATCGAGACCATGTTTCTTAAGTGTGAAAATTTGACATTCCTATCTTTTGGATGTTCAAATTGACATTCTTACCTTTTAGAATGTTCATGTTGTCATTCCAAATCTTTGAATGTTTAAATTGAATTTTGTACAATTTTGGGTTTTTAATTTGACATTGATATTTTATTAAATTCCTGTTGTCTGGATATTCAAACTGACATTCCTATATTTGTGATGACATTCCTACATTTTAGGTGTTAAAATTGACATTCCTACCTTTTGTATGTACTAAATGACGTTTCAATTCTTTTGATGTTCAAACTGACATTTCCACATTTGGTAAATTGACATTAAATTCCTATTGTGAAATGTCCTACATTCTTATGTTAAAATTGTCATTTCTATTCTTTGAATGTTCAAACTGAAACTCATACCTTTTTGATGGTGAAATTGACATTCAAATTCTTTAGGATGTTCCAACTGACATTCAAAACCTTTTGGATGGTTAAATTTACATTCCTATATTTTGAATAATCAAATTGACATTGTTTTATTTTTTGAATAATCAAATTCGAGCCGTGTCACGACAAAACCAACATAGTGCGTTTGCGACCAGCATGGATCCAGACCAGCCTGCGCATCCGCGCAGTCTGATCAGGATCCATGCTGTTCGCTATCAGTTTCTCTACTTGTAATAGAGTTGGTAAGCGAACAGCATGGATCCTGATCAGACTGCGCGGATGCGCAGGCTGGTCTGGATCCATGCTGGTCGCAAACGCACTATGTTGGTTTTGTCGTGTCACGGCTCATTTAAATTTCTACCTTGATATTGCCTCAGATGTCCTCTAATGAGACTGACTGATCTATTACATTTACTTTGTTGAAGTGGCACATTTCGTGTGGTGGTCCAACTGGATAAAGCAGTCATACTGTTTGGCAAAGAAGTCGTGCTGTTTGGGAAAGAAGTCGTGCTGTTTGGGAAAATAGCAATACTTTTGGACACCTAGAAACATAAATAACAAATTTACACGATTACCGAGTTGTAAAATAAGACTCCAGTTTAGAAACACTTAACATGGGGAACTGGTGCGTGATATTGCATTTGCTACAGGTTGATTCAAATATTAATAAACCACCCTGTTCTGTAAAACCTTTCACATTTCTCCATTTTTTTTTAATTATGCCCCCCCCCTTCGAAGAAGTTTTGCCAATGTCGGTCAGTCGGTCTGTCTGTCGGTCTGTCCGTCGGTAGACCACATGGTTTCCGCTGATTTTCTTGAACTGTTATCACAAAGTCTTCATATTTCATATAGTGATTGGTCATAACTAGTAGATGACCCCTATTGATTTTTGGGTCACCAAGTCAAAGGTCATGGTCACAGGAACCTTAAATGTCAGAATGGTTTCCGCTGATTATCTTAAAAAGTATTCATCACAAAGTCTACATATTTCACATATTGATTGGTCATAAGTAGTTAATGACCCCTATTGATTTTGGGGTCATTAGATCAAAGATCAAGGTCACAGGGGCCTTAAATGTCAAAATGGTTTCCGCTCATTTTCTTGGTTGCAATTCATTTCTAAGTCTTGATATTTCATACATAGATTGGTCATATCTAGAAAATAACTTCTATTGATTTTGGGGTCACTTGGTCAAAGGTCAAGATCACAGGGACCTTGAATGGTAACCTGATTTCTGCTTAATATCTTGATACTATTTATCACAAAGTTGTCATATTTCACATAGTGATTGGTCTTGACTAGTAGATGACCCCTGTTGATTTTGGAGTCACTGGGTCAAAGGTCAAGGTCACAGGGGTCTTGAATGGTAATATGATTTGTGCTTATTATCTTGGTTACTATTTATCACAAATTTGTCATATTTCACATATTGACTGGTCATAACTAGTAGATGATCCTTATTGATTATAGGGTAACTAGGTCAAAGGTCAAGGCTACAGGTGCCTTAAATGTCAAAATGGTTACCGCTGATTATCTTGAAAAGTGTTCATCACAAAGTCTACATATTTCACATATTGATTGGTCATAAGTAGTAGATGATTCCTATTGATTTTAGGGTCACTAGGTCAAAGGTCAAAGTCACAGGGACATTAAATGTCAGAATGGTTTCCGCTCATTATCTTGTTACAATTTATCACAAAGTCTTCATATTTAACATATTGATTGGTCATAACAAGTAGATGACCTCCTCTGATTTTTGGTTCACCAGGTCAAAGGTCATGGTCACAGGGGCTTTGAATGGTAATATGATTTCCACTTATTATCTTGGCAACTATATATCACAAAGTCTTCATATTTCACATATTGTTTGGTCATAACTAGTAAATGGCACAGGTTCTTTGAATGGTAGTATGATTTCAGCTCATTATCTTGAAAGATAATTACCACAAAGTCTGCATATTTCACATAGTGATTGGTCATAACCAACAGATGACCCGTATATTGCTTTTGGGATCACTTGATCAAAGATCAAGGTCACATGGGCCTTAACTGTCAGAATGGTTTCCGCATATTATCTTGAAAACTATTTATCACAAAGTCTTCATATTTCACATACTGATTTGAAACAACTCCTTGCTTTTATTACTTCTCAAAACATGTTGAGTCTCCTTGTCCAGCTCTGACAGATCAAGTACCGTAAATAAATGATTAAGCAAAGATTTTGGGTACACGGTCACTAGTTCAAAGATCTGAGTCACAGGGACCTTAAATGTTTCATTATCTTGGCTACTATTTACTACAGAAGTCTTCATTATTTTTCTTTTTTTCATAATTTAACACTTCCATGTACTCATTTATGGCAAGTTTTTATAACAAAATTAACAATAATGTGAGTCAAGGGCTAGAGAGGGGGTGGGGCATATGTGCATAAAAGTGTCTTGTTGAACCGCCTTTTATTTATTTATTTTTTGAGTGCCATATACTTTTCACATAGCATGCCGTCGTCATTTTAAGGATAACAGTATATTACGTGCTTGATATTAGATAAAACTATCTAACAATTCTTTCACCTTCATGTAAACCGATAGAGAGCTTTTTGATAATGACACGATCACAGACACTTTGGGTGTGGAGCTCGAAACTTGGGAGCCAGTTTGAATTTGTCGAAAGATTTAAGATGACAATTATACATTTCATTTGGATTTTAAAGGCATTTTTAGCTCCACACCACAACTGTCTGTGGACACGATGGCCATAGATCGCTCAATTGAGATACATCGCTTGAAAATGTCACAACGAGGTACATGCACAGTGTCTAAAATGTTACAATTTACATGTACTTTCAGAGAAGATGATTTTAAAAGGCATTCTTACTATAAAAATCTAGATGATTGTAATATAAGTGACTCTCAGGGAGTCACCATTTTTTCAACTAAAGGGTATGCCGTATATAACATTTGTAGTGGTCACCTGTCAAATATCCAAGCTCTGGGAATCGTTGTTTTACAAAAGAAGACTTAAATGTATTTTCCTTTATAATTCTCTAAAACTGACCCCGGGCCAATTCTGACCAAAGAGGCATGATTTATATAACTTTTTTTTTTTAAAGAGGAACTAAATATGCCAAATATAATATAAATATAGTATGCGTAGACTTCTAAGGTAACCCAAAATAATTTCTCTTAATATTTCACAACTTAAAATTATGTTATCGCATGAAAGAAACAAGTTTGTGTTTCCCCTTAAGAGCAAATTATGCATACTAAAAAGCTTTGCTCAGTGGTAAAAGCCCTATTTAAAAAGTAGCATAATATTTTGTTATGAAACATTTTATATGTATGTTAACGTGCAATATTTATGTACATTTGTATTCAAATAGCAGAGACATTCTATGTTACAATTCTTTTATTAAGAATCGACCATGAAATGGTGGAAACAATATAATTTTAATGATTATAAAATTGGCGAAATATATCATTAGATTCAGCTTTATGCCATTTAAATAATGTAGGGCTTTAGCCAGACAACACACGAACGCTGGCTTTTTTGTAATCCACCAACATCCACTATGTCTGTGTATTTATATAAAAAATATATCAGAAGATAGATAGATTAATTCATTTATAAGTCCACCTTATTTAAAGATTTGGCAAATATTTGATATGAAGTAATTGATATATTTTTTGTTTAATATTTTAGTGCGATCTGTTATTTGTCACGCTAACATTGTGTGTATTCTAATTGAATTATTTGCTGAATGCGGTATTATATGACGTGCGTTTTAAATAGGGTTCATTGTGTTATTTGTTATAGTATTATACTTTAGCCTTACAATAGAACGTGTGTTTTGACAATAGAACAACATTTAGAAACAAGATATCTACATTTTACTATAAATGTTTGCATAAATAGTTTTTCCTTGAATTCCGCATATGAGGAGATGAATCACGGGAATAAATCCAACAGATTTATATTTGCTTGTTTTTTTATAACTCGTATAAACCATTTAAAATAATTTTAAGCTGAAGTATCATAAAATTATGAGTAAATTGTCCAGAGAATTAAAAAAAAAGTGTAACAAGAAATACCATTACATGTACAATTTTGTAGTTTAAATTTTTTTATACTCTAAGATATTTTAAGAACGGCATATAGTATAACTGTCATTAAATTTTACAGTCAATATTGTTAAAGTTGAATATTGGAAAAAAATCAATCAATCAATCAATCAATCAATCAATCAATAAGTAAACATTAAAAAAAAAACTATGAACTTAATGTTTGCCGCTTTGTTTATACTCTTATTTCACGGTACATTAACAAATATGAATTTTACAACAAACATTCAAATTTTTATGAATCTACATGGTATCTTTGTTCCATTTTATTATGAAGGAGGCTAAATCTCAAGGCCCATAACTCGGTTGGACTTCTTGTTTATAATAATACTCGACAGTTTGTGAAAATCGGAATACAAGTTAGTAGAATGTAAACCTGGAAAAAAATGATTTTTGAGAATTTGAGAGTTATTCCATTTACAGTAATATTGAAGTTAAACATGTCAATTTATGCATAATGATTATAAATATATTTTAGCAAAAAAATAATCAACAAAAACCCTTCAATATTTTAACCCTGCTATTAATCATCATCAACAATACAAATTTCGTACGAAAGATCATGTCAACAGTAATTTTGTATTATATTATATTTTGTATTCCATAAAAGGGAGCAAAAATCAAATGTAACCAAGCAACTTTCAAGTGTCACACATGATATATACATGTATGTAGGTAAATAATACCGATATACCATACGTTTTATTACTTTTTCAAGATATTTGACAGATATAATTATACAGCCTGATATGTTATGTCGATGTAGTCTGAAATCAATGCCGTCCCGGTTAAGATATCAGTTTTGACCTTGTATTCTTTTTGTTAAATATATACAGTCTGTAATGTTTTGTTTACCAGCTAAATGACTTTCAGTTAAGATTATAAAGTTTAAAATTTCAACTTAGTAAAAGGACCACGTACTGCACTGTGTCTTTCAAATGTAAAGTCCATTAACAGTTGTAAAAGAAAGAACGCTGCCTTTAACTTTATGCATTTTACATGTGAATTTAGTGTACTTGTTCAAAGTAAAATATCCCCTTTATAATAAATGAACTGCGCGATGACAAAACATAATGGGTCTGCGACCAGCATGGATCCAGACCAGCCTGCGCATCCGCGCAGTCTGATCAGGATCCATGCTGTTCGCTTACAAACCCTGTAACAAGTTGAGAAACACACAGCGAACAGTATGGATCCTGATCAGACTGCGCGGATGCGCAGGCTGGTCTGGATCCATGCTGGTCGCAGACCCATTATGTTGGTTTTGTAATGGCGCGGCTCAAATATCTTATGTACAGGTTAATAGCTTTTTGTTATAACACACGGTTAACTAATAATATCATATCTGGTATAAAATAAACCCATATGGTGTTGAATTTATGGAAATGTACATGTCCTGCTTTGAAGTTAGCGAAGTCCGTAGTTGGTGTTAAGGTGTTTTGAATTTCAAACGTTAGCAGCCAGGTGTTAGACTTCATGTATATATATGTATGTATATAGTGGATAACCTGGCTCTATACTGGATACATGGACCATATTTGTCTTTATTACGACGGTATAGCTGAAGATGTGCAGTCTCGATTCAAGTTGGATTAATAGTTGTTCACTTGCGGAGAAACTAGTAAGTTATCGAGGTGAAACTTCCGGTTCCGGCGAGATTATGACCAAAACATGTATTAAAATTGGCGTAAAGACCAGAGACCAATTTTTAACTTAAACTTGAAATATGATAAGGGCCTACACATAGATGAAAATTGATATACGACCCCGGGCGTACCGAAAACCATGTTTTTTGCGAACCACTATTGTGACACGTGACCAGGTTGAATGAATTATCTTCTCCTATTTAAGCTACAGTCTCACTTACATCCCGGCAGAGCCCCGGGAGACGTCCGGGGTGATCCGGGAACGATCGGGGTACGACCGGGAACAACCGGGGTTCATCCGTAACTCTGCCGGCAACGTCCTGGATGATCCGGGATGATCCGGGAACATCCGGCATTCGACCCCGGATGGAATAAAATATTTAATATCACCGGGGTGGTCCGGGATGATCCGGGAAGGTAAGGCTTTGCCGGCTTCATCCTTAGCTCTGCCGGGAACGACCGGGGTTATACCGGGAAAGCACCGTAGCTCTGCCGGCACAAACCGGGGATGATCCGGGGTATGATATAGCCGGTAGAGCTACGGTAGAGCCCCGGTATATGCCGACAGAGCCCCGGTAACTACAGGCAGAGCCCCGGAGGATTAAGATAGAGCTACGGTTGATCCCGGTAGAGCCCCGGCAAAGCCCGGATCATTTCAAAAGAATAACGACAATTTGCGATGATTGCACTTGTTTGTATTAAAAGCCTTTCCCTTCTATCCAGTATGGCATAAGGATTTTTTTCAGAAAATCATCATGAATTACTATTCTGGAACAATAGATATTATATTAAATAAAAATTATGTATCAATGTTATCATTTTCGGGCGTTTTCAATCCACCGGGGTTCTACCGGGGCTCTGCCTGGATCGTCCTGGGCTCTGCGGGGCTCTGCCTGGATCGACCGGGGCTCTGCCTGGGTCAACCGGGGCTCTTCCGGCGTCATCCGGGAACGACCGGGGAAGCACCGGCATGATCTGTAGCTTCACCTGGGCTCTGTCTGAATGATCCGGAGCGCATCCTGGGTGGTTAATAGGGAACTACCGTAGTGCTGCCGGGGTAAGTGTGACCGCAACCATAATTTCATCCCGGATCGTCCCGGATCATCCCGGTAACTTACCGGGAATGTCCTGGGCTCTGCCGGGAAGAAGTTAGACCGAGGCTTTATATTGGCTACTGGGTTAGTAACGTAGTAGATTATGCAAAGAAGGATCACGATATATTGACTCTTTTGTCAACATTCTTTCTTGAACTATAAGATGCCAGTAACAGATTTACACATTTAAACCTAGCTAAATCATTATTTATTGTTAACTTGAAATCTATTTTCTTTTTCTTTTCATTTTACTACCTGGAGGCCAGTGGCTTTAGGCTTGTTGCATTAAATTTACTGCCGTGAGTATCACTATAGAGACGATATGTCTACGATCCTTTTATAGAAAATAGCTAAAATATGAGCCGTGACATGACAAAACCAACATAGTGGGTTTGCGACCAGCATGGATCCAGACCAGCCTGCGCATCCGCGCAGTCTGATCAGGATCCATGCTGTTCGCTATCAGTTTCTCTACTTGTTATAGGGTTTGTTAGCGAACAGCATGGATCCTGATCAGACTGCGCGGATGCGCAGGCTGGTCTGGATCCATGCTGGTCGCAAACGCATTACGTAGGTTTTGTTTTGTCATGGCGCGGCTCAATTATGTCTTCAACACCTGTTAACATTAAGAATCAATGGCAGATCTTTGTGAAAGCTCACAAAATGAAATTGTTTTAAAACTCAGATGTTGAATCAACAAAAAATATTGACTATACATCATTTCAAAAACATTGCATCAAGTTTGAAGGCGAAAAATCAACCCAATAAACTCAACAAATAAACGCAAAAATCATGGTCACCTTTTAATTTCTAAATAAATTTACATTGTAACATAATAATTATATACACTTTTTACCTTGAAATAAAAAAGCACTAAAACACACAGCAATATCTGACATAAAGTGTCAGGTTACCTCTAATATCACATTTCAAAACTGTTATATTGCCTTTAAATTATTGAAAAGGAAACTAAATTGACATGATAAAATATTAATGTGAAGATACTCTTACACCTACTCCTGGTCTTAAAAAAAACTAAACAAAAATGTAGAATCCGTAAAACAACCCTGAATTTGAGATGTGTGTAAGTTAAATTGGTCTCATTTATGGTCTGTATATATTATATAGAAATACAGAGCGGAAACAGCCGAATAGAAGAATAATATCTAACAACTGGTCCCCTATCATGCTAAATATGTTAAATAGTCTTATCAATCTTTCGTTCTAGGTAAAACAATTAATCAATTTTAGAGAAGAAGTTTTCAAAATAAGTATAGACTGAAACTGACTTGAATATCGAAAGGATGTGCCGGCTGATCTTGGTCTGCACTGACTAGAACCTAATGCTGCCAGCAAGTTCAAGGTGGAAAAAATAACATTTAAATTTTTTTTTTTTATTGGAACATCATGTGGTTCGAACGCTCAAAGTTCGTTGTTTATATTTTATAAGATGTGAAATAGTTTAGTATATCATACATTACTTAAATATGTTCCTTCTTTACTTGTACAAAATTGAGCCGCGTCACGAAAAAACCAACATAGTGCGTTTGCGACCAGCATTGATCCAGACCAGCCTGCGCATCCGCACAGTCTGATTAGGATCCATGCTGTTCGCTTACAAACACTATAACAAGTAGTGAAATTGATAGCGAACGGCATGGATCCTGATCAGACTGCGCGGATGCGCAGGCTGGTCTGGATCCAAGCTGGTCGCAAACCCATTATGTTGGTTTTGTCGTGGCGCGGCTCAAATGTCATCGGGTCTTTAAATATAATAACTTTCAACATTATCAGCAGTTCTAGCAGAGAATCATAGTGCATCATCTCAAGCATTGGGCTTATAATGATAAGTCTATCGTAAAATTATCATCTGTCAAAATTTATATTACTAGTATCCAGCACATGAGCAGGACGCCTGTGGGCACATGCGTGTAAAAGCTTGATTGTAATTCAAACCTTACTCTACTATGGTTATATGAATATGAATATTGTATTACATGTATTATTGTTTTACGTGCACATAATCGCCTAAAACATAGACAAGCGCCATGTAAACTACACTTTTGAAAAGAATTTTGTTAATCTATATTGACGAATGTAATCTTAGAATACGTGGTAGATATTTAACGTCCGTTTCTCTCTACCGCTCTCACGTGCATATTTCCGCTTCTCTCGCAAACGGGAGCTTTTCGATTCATAATCAAGTTTTTACGATCGAAATAGAGGGCGCCCGATTTGATTTTAAAAAGCGCCAGCAAGTTAACATAATTTTGCCCACAAACATTGTTAATTTGATAGGTTAATGACGAAATCATGCCAACATTATACCGTTATAGAAGTAGTTACCACGAAGCAATAAGAATAATATCCATGCTGCAAAACATTTGCGTCTAAATCTTCTTGTAAACCTAAGCGGACCGACTGACCTGCCTTAAACATAACGATATGACCGCCTGCATTATATTTTATCTTCCCTAATTCAAACTTTTTGTGACAGCTGTTGTAAATAAAGGTGACCGAGTTACATATGCTAGTAAACATTCTTACTTGAATTACTTTTCAACGAATACAAATACAAAATGTAATTTTTTTGTGTGAGTCGTAACTATTTTTTCCCCGGTTAAAAGGATTTACAATTTTCATAAGTGGACAATGGTTCCATATGCCACTTCATGCATTATTTCCGGTACGACAGGTACCTGGCTAGAACCCCGCAGCTGTCTGTACTGCTTTCTAACAGAACCAGCATTACAGGAAGGTTTGAGGATGTTGACGTGGGATATCAAACAATAGAGGGAATAGCCAAATGATTTAAAGTCAACAACTTTTACACCAGTCTGACTTAAGTTCAGATTTACTTAAGTTATTGCTTGCATATATCGTGAAATAGAAACTGATTTTAATCATTGAAACTTTGATCAGCCGGCTAATGAGACCTCAAGAGCGCACATGATTAAAAATATAACTAAATGATAAGCAAGTTTTATTTCGAAGAAGCATGGTTTTGTTATGCTTAAAGAAAAAAACAAAACACTTACTGGATCGTAGGTAATCATTTGTGAAGGCTTTGACTTAAACTCTGAAATTTTAACAATTGGCACAGTGAATGAATATTTCAAAAAGATACTTCAAAATAAGTTGATGTTAATTATTGTTAGATTGCTTCCCCTCATTAATTTTACAGAGAAAGTACACAATACCCAGTCCTACAAAATGCCCTGTCTTATTTTTAAATTAAAAATACCTACGTTAAAATAGAACTTCTTACATCGATTAAGGCAAACTTGAATTAAATTTAGGTTATGTGAACGTGATAATGAAAGAAAATAGATATATAAAATATAAAATGTTAAATTAAAAATGATTATTTCATTAATTAATTATCTAGAATTTAAATGATTTTTAGTGATAATCGATAAGAAAATAAATAAACAGAACTTACTTTCCATTTGCACTATAAATAACTGTATACACATGTACACGAAAAGAAGAATACCTAAGCTAACTTTAATATTCTGTTTTGAAATCATTCTCCAATTATTATGTTTATCCTAAATAAAGGTTTTAAATTTTCTCACATTTTAAGAAAAATTAACTCTGTCAAACGCACGATAACAAAATATAGCCATATATAGAATGTCATTTATGTATTTGTTATAATAGTATCAGTTACAATATCATTAATACATAGATGAAGCGTCTTCTGTTCTTAAATCAGTAGTGTAGAAAGTACATGAGACAACACCGTGCATAACCTGTACAATTAAGACGCGGATGTAACACCGAGAATGCGGTAAGTTCGATATTAAGGCAATGAATAACAGCCATATTGATGTACTGGAAAAGTGTCAGAATTATCAAACATTATACATTGAGTTTCAACATTATTTTATCATTAAAGTTTATATACAAGAAACATGGCAATGCCATGAAGCCAGGTTTTTAAAAATGGGTCAAAGACAGAAAAGGCCGGGTTGCATTTGTATACCAAATATCATGAGGCTGTGATGTTACGAAAATTTCCTACCTTTGACCAACAATGTCGAAGATTTAACTAAGTCGGTAAAAAGGAAGAGGATGAGCGACACACCTAAAATCGAATCCCACGGTATGGGCCATGTGTAAATGCTGTATATCAAATATCAAGAGGCTGTGATTAGTAGTTGCTTAGAAAAATGTTGAGAAAATTTCCTACCATTGACCATTTATGTCTAAAATTTAACTTAATGCGTAAACAGGAAGTGGATGAGTGACAAACCTGATATATAATCCCACGGTATGGGATCATATGTCAATGCTGTATATTAATTGCTGAGAAAACTGTTATGAAAATTTCCTACCATTGCCCATATATGTAAAAAAAAACTAAATTGGTAAACAGGAAGTGGATGAGCGACAAACCTGAAAAAGAATCCCACAGTATTGGACAACGTGTCCATGCTATATACCAAATGATTAGTAGTTGCTGAGACAACTGTTACGAAAATTTCCTACCATTGCCCATTTATGTCAAAAATTTAACTAAATCGGTTAACAGGAAGTAGATGAGCGACAGATCTGAAATAGAATCCCAAAGTATGGGACGACGTGTCAATGCTGTATGCATGCCAAATTTCAAGAGGCTGTGATAAGTAGCTACTGTTGAAACTGTTACGAAAATTTCCTACCATTGACCAATCATGTTGAAAGGTACACAGGAACTGGAAAAGCGACAAATCTGAAATCGAACCCCATGTGTTAATGCTGTATGCCATATATCAAGAGGCTGTGACAAGTAGTTACTGAGAAAACTGTTACGAATATTTCCTACCATTGACCAATTACATGTATGTCTAAAATTTAACTTAGTCGATTAACCATGTTAACAGGAAGTGGATGAGCGACATACCTGATATCAAGTTCCACGGTATGGGACAATATGTCAATGCTGTATACTAAATATCAACAGGCTGTGATTAATAATTGCTGAGAAAACTGTCACGAAAATATTTTCGCCGCCCGCTCGCTTGCCCGCCGCAGCACATTCACCTGTGCAACCCGGCCAAAAATTATCGATCATTGTAGAAAGTTTTTCTATTTGGAATACAAATACAAGCAATGTACAATTTAACAAAATGCAATTTAAATGATAAATAATTGAAAGCAAGCATTTTGTTATTACAGTAGATGGAAAAGAAGAAAAAAATGTGTCGTCTAACATCTCATTATTGTACTAATGGAGGCCCTTTAACGTTTCCGTATTTTACCTACTTTATCCTAATTACGTGACTGTTTAGGTCACAAATGCCGCGATCAAATAACACGGGGTATTAAGTAACAAAATATAGTTTAAAGTAAACATTTGTGATTTTAAAAAAATCGAGACATGTTTAAACTGCACAGTATATCGATTTATCATTCCATCCGGCGCAACGTTTTGTTTTGAAGGTTAAAAAGGAATAATTAAGAAAATTATTTCCACCACCCCTAGCTGGATGTGTTTCAATCACTGTGTGTGTTTTTTTCTTTTGTTTTGTTTTTTCGTTATAAAACTTAACTAATAACTAACATATTAGTTCTGGCTTCCATAAACTTATAAGTCGCTTATATTTTGACGTTGTGCCACAGTAAAGTTATGGGTCAACCCTATTTGCAAAGGCTACCAGGATTTTGGCAGTTCGTGTGCAGTACATACAAACCTATTAAAATCACCCTTATTAATCAAATTTAGGTCAAATAAAATATACCATTTGATAAATTAATCAATTTTGAATCAATTCATGTTTACCAATATGGAGTCTGCTTTCAAATGAAATCTCGCGCGACTTCAAGTTTGGAAATTCTAGCATCTCAAAGACCCCTGGTCATCTAACGTAATCCTCTTATATATTTAACAAATATATAGAATATTTGTCAATCAACATGTTCCCCTTGTCATCTCATGTGATCTCTTATACATGTTCAACGAAAATTGTGTATATGTATCTAGATAATCCCCTTGTCATTTTACGTGATCCCCTAATATCTGTTCCAAAATGAAAAAAGTACATGTATATATGTATATCTTAACTGATCCCCTTATTTCTGTTCAATGAAAACTATAGTATATGTACATCTAGATGATCCCCTGATCATTTTACGTGATTCCATCATATCTGTTCCAGAATGAAAAATGAGTATGAACATATTCATGATCCCCTTGTAATCTTACGTGATCCCCTTATTTCTATTCAATGAAAACTATAGTATATGTACATTAAGATGACCCCCTGGTCATTTAACATGATCCCCTCATATCTGTTCCATAATGAAAGATTATATGTGTACACTGATGATTCCCTTGTAATATTACGTGATCCCCTTATTTCTATTCAATGACAACTATAGTATATGTACATTAAGATGACCCCCTTGTCATTTTACGTGATCCCGTCATATCTGTTCCATAATGCAAAAGGGTATACATGTATGTACATCTAAACGTTCCTCTTTTCATCTTACGTGACCCCCTTATTTCTGTTCAATGAAAACTGTAGAATATATACATCTAGATGATCCCCTAGTCATTTTACGTGATCCCATCACATCTGTTCCAAAATGAAAAAGAGTACGTACATCTATAGGATTAGGATACCCTTGTAATATTACGAGATCCCCTTATAACTGTTATATGTAAACTATAGTATGTGTACATCTAGATAATCCCCTGGTCGTTTTACATGATCCCCTAATATCTGTTCATAATGCAAAAGAGTATACATGTATGTACATCTAGATGATCCCCTGGTCATCTTACGTGACCCCCTTATTTCTTTTCAATGAAAACTATATTATAATTCTTTACATCTAGATGATCCCCTGGTCATTTTACGTGATCCCGTTATATCTGTTCCAGAATGAAAAAAAAGTATATGTACATCTTGATGATTCCCTTGTCACCTTACGTAACCCCCTTATTTCTGTTCAATGAAAACTATAGAATATATACATCTAGATGATACCCTAGTCATTTTACGTGATCCCGTCATATCTGTTCCAAAATGAAAAAGAGTACGTACATCTATGGGATCCCCTTGTAATCACACATGATCCTCTTATTTCTGTTAAATGAAAACTAAAGTATGTGTACATCTAGATGATCCCCTGGTCATTTTACGTGATCCCATCATATCTGTTCCAATATGAAAACGAGTACGTATTCTTATTATTTCTGTTCAATAAAAACTATAGTTTATGTACATCTAGATGATCCACTGGTCATTTTACGTGATCCCATCATATCTGTTCATAATGCAAAAGAGTATACATGTATGTACATCTTCATGATCCCCTTGTAATCTTACGTGATCCCCTTATTTCTGTTCAAAGAAAACTATAGTATATGTACATCTAGATGATCCACTGGTCATTTTACATGATCCCCTCATATTTGTTCATAAAGCAAAAGAGTATACATGTATGTACATCTAGATGATCCCCTGGCCATCTTACGTGATCCCCTTATTTCTGTTCAATGAAAACTATAGTATAATTATGTACATCTAGATGATCCACTGGTCATTTTACGTGATCTCATCATATCTGTTCAGTATGAAAAAGAGTATGAACATCTTCATGCTCCCCTTGTAATCTTACGTGATCCCCTTATTTCTGTTCAATGAAAACTGTAGTTTATGTACATCTAGATGATCCTCTGGTCATTTTACCTGATCCCCTCATATTTGTTCATAATGCAAAAGAGTATACATGTATGTACATCTAGATGATCCCCTGGCCATCTTACGTGATCCCCTTATTTCTGTTCAATGAAAACTAAAGTATAATTTTGTACATCTAGATGATCCCCTGGTCATTTTACGTGATCCCATCATATCTGTTCATAATGCAAAAGAGTATACATGTATGTACATCTAGATGATCCCCTGGCCATCTTACTTGATCCCCTTATTTCTGTTCAATGAAAACTATAGTTTAATTATGTACATCTAGATGATCCCCTCGTCATTTTACGTGATCCTATCATATCTGTTCAGTATGAAAAAGAGTATGAACATCTTCATGCTCCCCTTGTAATCTTACGTGATCCCCTTATTTCTGTTCAATGAAAACTGTAGTTTATGTACATCTAGACGATCCTCTGGTCATTTTACGTGATCCCGTCATATTTGTTCATAATGCAAAAGAGTATACATGTATGTACATCTAGATGATCCTCTTGTCATCTTACGTGACCCCCTTATTTCTGTTCAATGAAAACTGTAGAATATATACATCTAGATGACCCCCTTTTCATTTTACGTGATCCCGTCATATCTGTTCCATAATGCAAAAGAGTATACATGTATGGACATCTAGATGATCCCCTAGTCATTTTACGTGATCCCATCATATCTGTTCCGAAATGAAAAAGAGTAGGTACATCTATAATAAATGAAAACTATAGTGCTTGTATGTTTTGTTTGTTTGATTGGGTTTTACGTCACATCGACACAGTATAGGTCATAGTACTAGTATGTGTACATCTTGATGATCCACTGGTCGTTTTACGTGATCCCCTCATATCTGTTCCATAATGAAAGAGTATATGTACACTGATGATTCCCTTGTAATCTTACGTGATCTCCTTATTTCTGTTCAATGAAAACTATAGTATAATTATGTACTTTTAGATGATCCACTGGTCATCTTACGTGATCCCATCATATCTGTTCCGAAATGAAAAAGAGTAGGTACATCTATACGATCCCCTTGTAATCTTACGAGATCCCCTTATTTCGGTTGAATGAAAACTATAGTACTAGTATGTGTACATCTAGATAATCCCCTGGTCATTTTACATGATCCCCTCATATCTGTTCATAATGCAAAAGAGTATACATGTATGAACATCTACATGATCCCCTTGTAATCTTACTTGATCCCCTCATTTCTGTTCAATGAAAACTATAGTATAATTATGTACATTTAGATGATCCACTGGTCATCTTACGTGATCCCCTAGCTTATATTTGTTCCATGATAAAAAAAGAGTATATGTACATCTAAATGATCCTCTTGTCATTTTAGCTAATCCCTCATATATGTTCTTCTTTAAAAACTACAGTGTTTATACATCTAAAAGACCAGATGACCCTTCATATATGTTTCATCACAACTCGTGTTGTACATCTAGATGATTCCCTGCTTATCGTACATTAACCTCTCATACATCTTCTATCAAAACTAGAGTGTATGTTCATGAAGATGATCTCTTGGTCTTATATTGTGATTCCTCATATATCTATAATGAAAATAAGTATACATTGTATGTACATTCAGATGACCCTTGAGTCATCTTACTTGATATCCTCACATAGGTTCATTTGCTGATTAAATTATTAGGCATAGGAATGAAAATATAAAGGTTCGATTGTATGTCCCGAAGTCTTTAAAGCCTGTTTCCATGTTTATGCACCCGAAGGGTAGCATATTAAAAACGAACCGTCCGTCTGTCTGTCAGTCCGCACTCACAGGAGAGTAATTATGTGGCTAGAGGGACAATAGGTAACTGTTCTTTCTCTTTGATGTCATTCATTCCGTAATGCTTTTATGTGGCTATTTTCTTTTGTGTGGCTAAAAAGAACAATAGAGAGGACAATAGAGTAGCCACATAATTACTGTCCTGTGAGAACGTCCGTCCGTCCCGCTTTATAAATATAGACAGTGGTGGTCGTGTCCGTTCTGAAACTTCAGTATGCATGAAAGGATTTTAATTTTTCTTTCATATATGAAATAACTATAGATATATGGTGTGTCGCGAACATGACTCGGGTTTCTATCACTAAGATCAATGTCGAGCTCACTGTGGAGGTTCAAACTTTGTCATTTTTATGTTATATAAATATAGATGGTGGTGGTAATGTCCGCTCTGAAACTTCAATATGCATGGAAGGATTGTATTTTTTTCGCATATGAAATAACCATAGATGTATGGTGTGTCGCGAACAAGACTCGGGTTTCTAGAACTAAGGTCAAGGTCACTGTGGAGTTTCAAACTTTGTCATTTTTTATGTTATATTAATAAAGATGGTGGTGGTCGTGTCAGTTCTAAAACTTCAGTATGCATGAAAGGATTTTAATTTTCTTTTACATATGAAATAACAATAGATGTATGGTGTATCGCGATTAAGACTCGGGTTCCTACGACTAAGGTCAAGGCCACTGTGGGGGTTCAAACTTTGTCATCTTTTGTGTTATATAAATATAGAAGGTGGTGGTCGTGTCCGCTCTGAAACTTCAGTATGAAATAACCATAAATGTATGTTGTGTTGCAAAAAAGACCTGGGGTTCTTGGACTAAGGTTAAGGTCACTCTTGGGGTTCAAACTTTGTCATTTTAAATTTTTATGTTATATAAATATAAAAGGTGGTGGTAATGATCGCCCTGAAACTTCAGTATGAATGAAAGGATTCTATGTTTTCTTTCACATATGAAATAACCATAGATGTATGGTGTGTCGTGAACTACAACTTAGGTCAAGGTCACTGTTGAGGTTCAAACTTTGTCATTTTTATGTTATATAAATATAGAAGGTGATGGTCCTGTCCGCTCAGAAACTTCAGTATGCATGAAAGGATTTCAATTTCTCTTTCACATATGAAATAATAATAGATGTATGGTGTGTCGCGAGGAAGACCTAGTTTTCTTGGACCAAGGTTAAGGTCACTGTGAGGGTTCAAGCTTTTGTCAGTTTTTTTGTTATGAACATGTAAATATAGAAGGTGGTGGTCCTGTCCGCTCTTAAACTTCAGTATGCATGAAAGGATTTTAATTTTTCTTTCACATATTAAATAACCATAGATATATGGTGTGTCGCAAACAAGACTCGGGTTTCTAGAACTAAGGACAAGGTCACTGTGGAGGTTCAAACTTTGTCATTTTTATGTTATATAGATATAGATAGTGGTGGTCGTGTCCGCTCTGAAAGACTCTGGTTTCTATGACTTAAGTCAAGGTCACTGCGAGGGTTCAAACTTTGTCAAATTTGCTTAATTTATAGGCGGGGCTAAATATGCAAAGTGTTCTTTCTCTCGATCCCTTTTTCCGTTCACCATTTGGGTCACGGCCTCACGGGTCATGCAAAGGTATTCGAACCTAGATTCTTGCAAGTCACGTGATGATTAGGACAACAATGGCGGTGATTTTATGGAATGTAAACGTACGTATAAACTTTGAGGCATTATTTCATCAATCTAACCCTTCTTTGTTCAAAAATATAGACTGAAGTGTACAAACTATATCAATCTGTATAGCTTTTAAATTGATTGAATTACAGCATGACATAAATATGCTAGCAACCTGTTCTAGCTACTAATACAGTCGTATTAAGTGTTTTTAGCAAATAATACATGTAGTAGTTAATCTAGTGGATTATATTGACCCATTACCAGATCATGTACATGTTTAGTCATCACGCTGTATATACTTTGTGTTCTGCGCAGTGTCTCGGGTGTTTATATATATATATATATATATATATATATTGAAACTCTGACCTTTTATTTGAATAACAATAGATTTAACCACAAACATTGACATGTGCTCTTTTGTTAACAAATAATGTTGTGGTGAAATTCTTATTGTATCCACTAATCTGATAATTAGAATTGGACAGGTCAGGGACACTATGTATTCTTTGAAATAGAATTGAAGGGCGTAATAATCGTCACCGTTAGTTTGATTCTTGCTTCTAAGTAAGCTCGCTTAATATTTTTAAACTGAAATACATTGTTACTAATATTTTATAGTGTACCTGTCTGTACGTTCATTCAATTCTACCTGAAGTGAACAGAAATATAGGGGATAAATCAGACTCGCCCGCTCGCATTTGCGAGTGAAAGATCGGGTCAGGCGAGAAAAATGTTGACCTAGCTCGCCTGGGGTTCATCAATAGAAGACACAAAAATAACAACATTTCCTTTCAGAATTTTAATTCCATTAACAAAAAAATTAAATTCAATGAACAATGTAGCGGCAATATTTAACATTAGTTTAATTTTGTTAAAATATGTGTACCATATTTAAAACAATCAAATGAGAATTTTTAAAATAACATGTTATTGAAAATGATAAACAATGAAAAGGTTTCTCCCAAATGTTTAAATTCTAAAAAATGTTAACACATAACTAGGTTGTAAACCTTATACGGATAAAAGAATGAAATAGCACATAAAATAATAATAATAAATAATAATAATAAAAACACCAATATGGTTATATGGTAAAGCTGTGAAAAACTGTGCATATGAATAAAACAACTTGAGAATGTGCACTGCTAGCAACGCTCTATTCATAATAAACTGAATAAAAACGTGTTAGACTTGGTTGATTGTCTTCAGTAATTGGGCCCGTTGTCTGTGTTTGGGTTCATTTTCTCTCTCCCTTCACTCTAAAACCATACCAACCCTCGAATCACTTCCGTTGTAGACATGTATCTCTTCTTGTGGGTTTTGCTGTTTTTATTATTTTTTTTTCAAACTTCAATCGTGGAAAATAAATGCAAAAAAATAAAATTCCGAAAGGACGGCATTATCAGAATGAATTAAGTTTTCTCTGCAAAGTACATTACTATAGCAAATCTACTAGATTTCCACTTGCAAATTGCTAGTTTTCATTACTAGCTATATGTATTTGATATTACATTACAATTTTGCGCAACGATACATTGTTACACTTTTGATAAAATCAACTTATTTTACAGCAAAGGGGCCTAATTTGCATAATGATGACGTCATATCTTAAATTCATTTCTACATGTACTAATATATCTTTAATTTAACTCTCTTTCTGTTCACTGCTTGATCATTGTTTTGTTTTCTTTGTCCGTTTCTGTCGTACGAACACTTACTTCATAAAGAATCATCCAGGCACTCTGTGGCCTTGTTACAAATATCTCTAAACAACTTATCTGTAAAAGAGGTTTCTGTCTAGTCATTTCAAACTGTCCTTCTTTAACACTGCCTAAAATCATGCTATTTTTGCATTTATCTTTCTCGCTAAAATAGCCTACTTTTACTATTGCATTTTCAAGCCTGTCCACTTTTCGCGTTGGATGACCTGTTTTTATTTGTATTCCTGTAATATTTACCGGACTGTCAAAGACTATCCTATAAAAATCACTAGTATTTGGAGTTTTTGCCCAAAAGAAACCATTCATGTTTACGTTGTACGGCCTTACTGCACTAAATGACCCGTGGCTCTCCATTGACGTCTGTACTTCCGCTTGCGGATTCAAAACTTTTGTTGACTTATAATTAATTGCTAAATCGTCAGCATCAACATTGAGCGACTTTTTAAGGTTTGGAATGCGACCGATGTTTCTCCCATGGGCTTGTAGAGAAGGACCGTCTTTAAAATTTTTGTCTCTTAATTTTTGAATTTTTCCTTTCAGCGAAGATGACAATCCAAAATGCTGAAACAGCGATTTAGGACTTTTGAATTGCTTGACTTGGGTTTTGATACTTTTAAGGTTATTTATTAACAAGTCACATGGTTTCTCGTCTTTAAATAACAGGAAATAATCTTTCATAGTACACAAATCGCTGGATCGGAACAATTTTCCAATAAATCCCAAAGTGCTGAACTCCAATAAAAACCATGTTTCTTTTGACTTCTCCATTTTTGATACAAACGTTCTTATTTCTTTCATGAAATCATTTGCTGTTGTGATGTCGTCTTCAATATGCATGTAATACTTTGATAGTTGGTCGCAATACGCGAACAGATATGCATAGTCAATGTTCTGTTTAGTTCGCCAATAAACTCGGCTAAGAGAGTCATTGTAATTTCTTTTTGTTATAGTTCTGAAAAAAAAACACAACAAAATAAAATACTGTTAATTCGTATAATAAATGACGATCAGGGGAGATTATCATTAAACGATAATGTGTCTTTCAATAAGAGAGTAATCGCCCATTTGTGTCTATAAGTAATAATTTTAATGACGCATTTCAGCCTCCATAGTAAAGCTGCGGTCTCACTTACTCCCGGCAGAGCCCAGGACCAACCCGGTAAGTTACTGGGATGATCCGGGGTAAAATTATTGTTGCGGCCACGCTTACCCCGGCAGTACTACGATAATTCCCAACTGCCAGGATATGCTTCGGACCATCCAGGCAGACCCCAGGTGAAGCTACGGTTCATGCCTGTTCCCGGATGACGCTGGCAGAGCCCCGGTCAATCCAGGCACAGCCCAGCAGAGCCCACAACCCCCCGGTGGATTGTAAACGTGCGAAAATGATGACGTTTTGATGTAACTCCATTTGTGTCAATTTTAAATATTTTCTCCTATTTAATAAGTAATTCATGATGATTTTCTGAATAATCCTTATGCAAAGACTGGACAGAAGGGAAATGGGGAAAGTTTTTTTTATACTAACAAGTGCAATCATCGTAAATTGCCGTGATTCTTTTGAAACGAACCGGGCTTTGTTATGGATCTACCTGATTAGTCGTAGCTCCATCGTTATCCTCCGGGCTCTGCCGGCATTCACCGGGGCTCATCCGTAGCTCTACCGGCTATATCATACCCGGTTTGTGCCGGCAGAGCTACGGTGCTTCCCCGGTGTAACCCTGGTCGTTCACGGCAGAGCTATATCTTCCCGGATCACCCCGACGATATTAAATATTTTATTCCATCCGGGGTCGAATGTCGGATGTTCCCGGATTATCCCGGACGTTGTCGGCAGGGTTAAAAATGTACCCCGGTTGTTCCCGGATCACACCGGACGTCTACAGGGGCTCTGCCGGGATGTAAGTGAGGCCGAAGCTTAAGATAATAAAGTGCAAAGGATCAATATGTTATTTTAATCTAATCATCAATGATTTTGATACCGACGACGATAAGGACTATGGTGCCGACGATGACGATGCTAACGCAGCCGACGATGATAAAATTGAGGATGATTATGATGATAATAATTATGATGATGTGGAGAGGAGGGAGGGGAAAGTGACGATGATGACGACGTGGGAGTAGATGCTGCAAACAATATAATCAGGGAAGAACATTCATAAAGTCGTTGCAATACTTACTTAAAATCGGGATAAATTTTTTGTTCTGGTTGAACAACTTGGATGATTCCAGCAGTAACGCTGTCTGCAAATTTATCATCTATCATACTCAATGTCATATTAACCCACTGCTTCTTGTGCGAGCCAAGAAATATCACAATTACGATGTCCTTCTTGTCTTCCTCAGTTATCTTTGATATAAGCGACGCCAACATTTGGGGGAGATAATAAGCGCCATCTCGCGGCACAGTGCTAAGTCCTAAGGTGACATAACCTGTAATGTACAATCACTCTGAATGTCTCATTTTCAACACGAACAATTTCGATATTTTTGTGACGGTAATAGTATGGAAGACATCAAAACATGTTAAGATATGTCCACACTAATGGACACTATAAGGAAGTGACAAAAACGATATTATAATCGAGTTGAATGACTTAAAATTCTTGTATGCAAATTTTTAATAAAATTTACAGGGGAGACTTTTTTCTAACACTGGAAGGGCTGTAAGTAATCTGTCATTAATTTCCTATGAAAAAATGTTCCTATTGATAATTTAAACCCAAAATGTTTGGAATATGAATAAAATGTTTCCCCTACCCGTCCATTTTAAAGCAGCACGCTTGCAGATTCATGCTTATTTTCATGAAAATTTTGAAAATATATGTAAAGGTAAATACATGTATTGTGAAGTGAACAAAATGAAAAATTACACATACGGCACTTGCAATCTTCATTGTACTTAGATAACAAAAAAAAGGGTGAAAATATGCAAAAATTCACCTAACTGCAATAGTAAAGCAGTAGAAATATGGTGATAAATACTGCAAACTCAGTCTTGAATTGCACACAGTAAATGTACATTATGTGCAATTAAAGACTGATTTTACAGTATTTAAACAAAATTAAGGCCCTTATCGAATAAAGGCATATAGGCCTACCTAGATGTTGCACATACATTCAAAATGAAAATAAATAATAATAAAAAACCTTTCGTTTCACGTTGAAATCCACGCAGTAAACGAACATGACTGGAGCAAGTACTCTGAAAAATGTTACTATTCTTAGTAACAGAGACCCTCGTGAGCTTCAGGTAAACCTCGTCTGAAAGACTGTCATTTAACGATCTGGTCACAAAACTGGCCGAAGATTCGTTTCCTTGAAAATACTGCAAGAATATCAAAAGCTTGAATGAAAAAGATAATTTTCTAAAACTATTTCCAACGACACATATGCCCCTCTTTCTAGCCATTTACTCACACTATTGGTAATTTTGTTATAGAAACTTGCCATAAATTGGTACATGGAAGTGTTCAGTTATGGAAAAAATGACCTAGTTATAACCAAACAATATGTGAAATATAAAGACTTTCACCTTTGAACTAGTGACCCCTATAATGACTAAATAATATGTGAACTATGAAGACTTGTGACCTTGACCTTTTCCATTAGTGACCTCAAAATCAATAGAGGTCATCTACTACATATGACCAATCAATATGTGAAATATGAAGCATCTGTGATAAATAGTTTTTAAGATAATGAGCGGAAACCATTCTGATATTTTAGGCACCAGCGACCTTTACCTTTGACCTCTTTACCCAAAAATCTATAGGGGTTATCTACTAGTTATGACCAGTCAATATGTGACATATCAAGACTTTCTGATACATAGTTTTTAGCTCGACTATTCGAAGAATATGAGAGCTATTGTAGTCGCCCCGGCGTCGGCGTCGGCGTCAGCGTCCGCGTCGGCGTCTGCGTTGGTTAAAGTTTTTTGTAAAGTCAAATATCTCAATTATTGCTTGAGATATTCAATTGAAACTTACAATACTTATTTATAGTAACAAGGTACATCAGATTGACAAGTTGGATAACTCTATCTACAATATTGCCAGAATTATGCCCCTTTTTAACTTAGAAATTTTGGTTAAAGTTTTTTATAAAGACAAATATCTCAATTATTGTTTGAGATATTCAATTGAAACTTACAATATTTATTAATAGTAATAAGGTACATCAGATTGACAAGTTGGATAACTCTGCCTACAATATTGACAGAATTATGCCCCTTTTTAACTTAGAAATTTTGGTTAAAGTTTTTGTAAAGACAAATATCTCAATTATTGCTTGAGATATTCAATTGAAACTTACAATACTTATTTATAGTAACAAGGTACATCAGATTGACAAGTTGGATAACTCTGCGTACAATATTGACAGAATTATGCCCCTTTGAAACTTAGAAATTTTGGTTAAAGTTTTTTTGTAAAGTCAAATATCTCAATTATTGCTTGAGATATTCATTTGAAATTTACAATACTTTTTTATAGTAACAATGTACATCATTTTGCTAAATTGCATATCTCTGTCTGCAATATTTGCAGAATTATTTGCCCCTTTGAAACTTAGAGATTTTGGTTAAAGGTTAAAGGTCTTCAAAGATATTTACTTGAAACTTTACACATGTACTTAGGGTTATAATTTGAGGGTCATAATTGTATGTCACTGACCAAGTTCCATAACTCTATCTTGCATTAAGGCTGATTCATATCCCCTTTTCTACTTAGTCTCTTGGTTAATGTTTACATGCAAGTTTTACATATCTCAATAACTATTAAAGATATTTATTTAAAACTTCACATATGCATTTAGGGTCAGAATTGTAGGTCACTGACAAAGATCCATAATTCTATCTTGCATTTAAGGTGATTTTTCTTCCTTTTTCCAATTTAAAAAATTCATGGTAAAGTTTTGCTTGTAAGCTGTTATCTCCATAACTACTGAAGGGTTTGTGCCTTTTTTGGGACAATTTTATGCATTCCTAATAATAAAGCAGTGATTTACTTGATAAAACATCTTAATAACAAGCCTTTGTACCTTTTCTGTCAATTTTATGTATTCATAGGTAATTAGTATTATTATACTCAATAAAGCACCCTTGTGACATTACCTTCCAAATAGTCAAGCCAATGTATAATTAGACTCTCTCTAAGACTTATAACATGAATTTATAAAAAAAATTAGCCCTTTTGTGAACTTAAAAAATTTAACATTATCAAGGCTCTTTTACTATCAAGCAATTAGAATAGTCGAGCGTGCTGTCCTACCGACAGCTCTTGTTAAGATAATAAGCGGAAACCATTCTGACATTTAAGGCCCCAGTGACCTTGACCTTTTTACTAGTGACCCCATTATGACTAATCAATATGTGAAATATGAAGACTTTGTGATAATTTTTTTAAGGTAATAATCAGAAACCATTCTGACATAATCAAGGCCGTTGTGACTTTGTGATAGATAGTTTTTAATATAACTAGCGGAAACCATGTGATCTACCGACGGACAGAACGACCGACCGACGGACAGAACGACCGACCGACCGACATTAGCAATTAATATACCCCTTTTTCCTTGGGGGCATGATTACATTGCCAGATCTTGCATTTTTGGAAAAATCTTTTGTTTAGGAATAACTACTAGAATATGTAATAGAAAGAGCATCGAAACACGAGGCTATCTGATTTGTAGGAGGGGGCGTAGCCCCCGAGTAGAAATCAGATTGCATAGTGTTTTGATGTTCTTTCTCTTTTGTATCATAGTCAGTTCCCTGATGTCACAATATGAAACCCCAGAAAAAAGGAACCAATGAACGAGCATCTGAATATGATATTTCTATCGCTTTCCCTTTCCCCGTCGTCACAATATGTAAACCCCAGACAAAATTAACCAATCAATTGGCATGCTGTGCAGTGCGGGTAACTAATACCTGCACTCCAGTTAACGCACTGTGCATGTATATTTATACGATTTAACTCTGACACATTTTCAACAGAAAGGTCCCCAAACTATGATACAAGAAATAACAAGAAAAGCATTGATGCAAAGCATCAAAGGGCGTCCAAGCAAGAAATGCAGCAAGTGAAGATGAACTAGTACACGTATGATGACAAGATATTCTTATAAACTACCAGAAATGTATACCACTTATGAATGAGCGGACGAAAGACATTGTTCATTATGAACTTTGATTGGCATGCTAGAGATTAGAATATTACTTGTTATTTCTTTATGATCGTGGTTATTAATAGCAACGGATATACATGTATGCAATCATTTATAATCCATATGTGTAACGCATGATCAACACGTACCACACATTTGTCCCTTATTATTTATGTACATGTTATCGCTATTAGCGAAGACCCCCTTAAGGTATCTGTTCACACTTTAAGTTAGTAAAAATATGACACTGGTTATATTACCATGTTGATCATGTTGAGCATAATTGTTTATTATACAATAATTGTAATATCTATTAATTTTAATTTTAAAAAAATACAAATTTTATGAATATTGTTTTCTTTTATTCTTTTTTGTGTTTATGTGCTATTTTAATACTGAGTTTTTACTACTCTTTTTTATTAAAATTGTAAAATAAATTTTAAGAATTCAATTGTCATATTGACCGACGATTATAAGTCAAAGCTTAACTGGAAAAAGTCAGTAAATTATGGTTTATCTTTCAATATATAATATTGTTTATTCTTAAACCATGTACATGTACATTGTATTTTTCTTTATCATTTTTTAAATTATCGATCAATTGAATAATTCATAAAATCTAATTTGTAACTTTGAATAATTCCTCGGCATCTTTACTAAACACGGATAACAAATTGAATAATTAAATAAAATGTTTCAAAGTTGATAATGTCATTTTAATACCATAAAAAAATGTACCTTTTTCTCAATTATTGTACATATCACGGATTTATATTACATATAAATCCGTGTACATATTTATTGTTTTTATCTCATATAGATAAAATGAAACATGCTATTGTTGTTTTTTTCTAATTGTAACGATATCAAACATCTACTCCAAAACCGGGAGAGACCGGACAATATAACGTGTGGTACTATTCGCCGGTCACTAGTAAATCCTGGTCAAAATAGACCGGGAGAGACCGGCATTTACCGATAGGAGTGATAAAAAGATATATCTATAAATAGGTTTTTGGAATATTTAGGTCATCAACTGATCATTCTAGGATACATGTACAACAATAACATACCATGACATGATAACCGACTGTGTACTACAAAATGATAAATAAAAAACCCCGAAGAGCGCGATTTATTGACGGAAAAGGTTATTTCATTTGTAAATGTTTGCATTGCGAAAATTCATTGTAACATATCGCGACATTTCATTCTTATTTAATAATCAAGCACCCTCATACCGATCGGAATTTTCGGCTTTTATTATGACCGACTAAAAGGCTCGAGAAGTTGCTGTCGCCCTTTCACAAAATCTGGTCTCATTCCATAAGAGCGCCGCGCTTCGGCGCGGACGCCAATAATGTGTTAAAACAAAGATCTGCAAGATGGACTGGAATTTAGGTTTTTGTATTTAGGGCTTTGTTACAATTACAAATCGAGATATTCAAGGTTTTTTCCATAAAAAAAGGACTTATTTTCATCGAGTGGTATGAAACAATAAATATTTCATGAGTGGCAGTAGCGTAGCCACATCGAACGAAATATGATAATTTTTATTCCACAAGATGGAGATAAATTCTGTTGTTTTTTTTAGAAAAGAAATTGAATTTTCTGTTTATAATATAATTTTTTTGACATTACAATTCCTTTAAATTTGTGTACTGGCCGAATGTAGAAGGTAGTAGTCCGGGAAGACACCAGTGAAAACACAGAAAGTATGTAAATTCATTGAAGTGAAAAATATTTATTTTACAGTGAAATTACGAAAGAATGAAAATACTCAATTTATTTCATAAATATTTCTTAATATTTCATTTATAAGTATACAATAAAAAGCTTTTACGAATTAATCATTTTGACAAACACAAATGTTACACGAGAAGTTTTGGCCACTGGTCCTTAAAGAAAGGGACCATGGTTTCGACCCCTGCTCAGGTGATGACCATGATTTTTTGACACAAGTATTTGCAAGTGCAAGAAGCTTACTATGATGTGATAAATGTATGTTGAACGAGACATAGTCTTGTTTTACACCCAGTTCAAATGAATGTGTTTAAACAAAATTATCAAAAAGGCACGTTTACTGCGAATTTAATAATTCAATTGCTCGAATTCGATATTCCTTTCATTATCTGCAAGCATAAATATTGACAAATAGGTTTGTCGATAAGTCTTATATAAAATCATACTATTTATCGCTTTAATATTTATCTAGCTAAACAATAACACATTTCTTATCTGCTCAGCACAATAGTGAGTAGTATAGGCGCCGGTTTACCCCCACGACTGCGCATGCGCGGCGCCATATTGGATTCTATATTTAGAATGACATCATCGTTCTATTTTTAGAATGACATCATCGTTCT